AGTTTTAAGATGCACTATTACTAACCCAAAACCAAGAAAAGGGAGCAAGGGCCACCAATACCTACACCTCTTCGTCATAACCCTTGCAATATATAGTTCTACATTGAACAACTGTTTATGTTGACTTTTTTTGAGGCACACGTGGTGCAAGAGAGGTAATTTTGGAGAAAAATATGTCCAAATAGGCCTACTATTAATTACCAGTGCAATATACTCATAAAAACCGTTTCGAATCTTTTATCAAAATCAAAACTCAATGCGTGAAGACCCAGCTGGAAAGTAAATACCATATGTTTTTATTTTGTAGATTATAATTCAAATGAAGGAATTAGAAAATATTAGAATATTAATTAAGTAAAGTTACCTACCAAAAATTTATATAACGTATTGTCCAAAACAATTGTGTTTTCACATATTTTCCGTGTCATAAACAATGTGAGGAAAACAGTGGTCTGCGCCTACGATAATTTTATCAGTATTACGCAAAATTTAGTGGCTCAATTACACAAATCCGTGCCAAAAATGTACCGTGGCGTCACACATTTCGTCATGCGAATAAATGACTTTGCTTATGCATTCGGCTTGAAAACTGTATAAATCATACTTATTAGCAGATAATGATAAAAATAGAAAAATCGGAAAAAATAGTGGGTGATTCTGAGTTTAATGTTATTTTTACTCTCTAACGAAAATCCAATTTATAGGACACACTTTTATCTATTAATATGAAGCGGCGGTATTAAAACTTTTTCTTATTTCACTAATGACGGATGTCTAATAGTGTAGGAGGCCATTGATATGCAATGTTGTTAAAGACGTGCTCAAAGAGCACGTTGCAATTACACAGTGTGTTCCAAAAAGTTTTAAACACATGAGAAATAGTTTTATCTTATATTTCACAAAAAAATTATTTTTGCTAAAAAGTTCTGCATCACTTTGGAATTCATAGTTAAATATATTTTGTAAAATATGGGTGGTATACAGGAAAAATGGAAGTATAGGTTATTTTTTGGAAGTTATACTTAAAATCAACATGAAAGTAATAACACTCGACTATGGATTTCCAAGTGATGCAGAACTTTTTATCAAGAAAAATTGTTTTTTGGAATAAACAAAACATTTTGGAACACTTTGTATAATGGAGTGCGTCGTTAAGAGCACCGCATACCACAAGTATTTGGTTTTTTGACCGAACCGAACGTATTTTAATTTTTTTTTTTATTTCGCTGATCCATTGGTAATTTTTATACAAGTGGCGCGTGTTTTTTAATTAAAAATATATATATATATATATAAAATTTAAATTTTTTTAACTACGATACAAATAAAAATTCCAAAAAACACACGCCACCACGGTTAATATTTAAAATCGATTGAAAAAAATTTTTTTTCTCGCGAAATAAGGGAGTTATGGTCAAAAAATTTAAATAATTGCCACTATTTTTTGTTGCCGCCGCAAAACCCGCAAAAATATCGATGTTTGTTTTTCCATACATCGATGTGTCTGTAAACATCGATATTTTCCAAAAGCTTTTATTGAAAAGCAAAAAAAAAGAAAAGAAACTTATCGATGTTAATTGAAAAATTAAAAAACATTGATACCTAAAAATCGATATTTTTTAAATATCGATGCATTGTGGGCATCCCTACCCTCTCATGATTCAATAAACTTGCCTGAAATGTGATACTCTATGAATATATTCCTTATTTTGACAACCCAAAACAAGGCACTTTATGCCATTTTAAATAAAAAGATTCAATTTATATACTCGTAGTTACAGAGATACTATCACTGAAACTATCACAAAAAATCCACACTTATTAATTAAGAAATATTTTTTCAAATAAGATTTTTTATGTAAATCTTTAACACTAGAATAAATGACAACAAAGATTTATAAGGTGAAAACTACGCATAATCAGATCCTGTTGCGTCTGTGCCGATACCAATTTCTAGACACTAGTAATTGGGAATGAAATTTTCTAACTTTCTTTCTTCTAATAGATTTTTTTAGATCATGTGTTTATTATATATGATACACACTTAGAACGTAAAAAATTTATTAATAGTTTCTTTCAAAGATATTCATTTTAATTTAAAAAAATGCTATTTTGGATTCCGAATTTATCTTAAAAGCAATAAATAATAAAAAGAAGACACAAGAATTTGAGTTAAATAAATTAAGAATTATATGAAACAAATATATTTTATCTAGGTACTTTAGATTTACAACGTTATTAACATAATTAAAAATAAACATAGGAAACAGAAATTTTTGGTGTAATCACCCAATTATGCCATTCATGTTCTTTGTACTGAAGTTTTTTGTCAAATTTTTGTATTATTTCAAATGGATTAAATGACCAATTTGTACTGTTGGATAAATGTATTCATTATGAAGAAGAACGTATTTTAAACTTCGCAAAGAGCTTTCTATAAAAAACGCAAATTCTTGGGATAACATTCATTGCCAATCTATTCAAATAATTTGATCATATCATGAATGAAACACAAACCCTTGTCAACAGAAAAATATTTGGAATATCTGGTATTTTTTTCGGGCAATTGTAACTCAGCAACTGGAGTCTAAAAGATTCAATTTATTCAATCTGGATATCAAAATGTCTGTATTTGATTTAGCTAGAGTACTCAATGGAAAGTTTTGAACCTATGAGCTAGACCAAGGTATTTGATTACATTGTCCATTTCTTGTTGATTAGGAAAGTGATAGGCCTTGCTCTTATGCTTTAAAAATAACATCCGATTTCTTCGAGTAAGAATGATCGTGTAGAGTTTGGTAGTCAGATTCTTTAGTTACTAAAGAAGGTGGTATGAGAACAGGTAGAATTTCAGAGTGGGGGATGGTGCTTTACTTCTGTATCTCTGTATCTGTAGCGTGTGGAAGGTGGGTTACCCCTAAGATGATAGGCACCTCCTAGCTCGTGAGCCAGCCTACAGATTTAATGTAGTTGACAACGTCGCCAAGAGGTGCTTCTCTTATATCGGCCGGTGTTAACCGATACTCGCCGAACACAAATCTTCTAATAAATGAGATTATCGAGCAATCGTAAAGGATATACTCGATGGTCTCACCTTCTTGTTCGCACCCTCTGCTGAGCGCGGATTCTGACAGCCCCATGATATGGAGCTGCTTTAGTACTTGGCAATAACCAGTCAGAGTGCCTGTGACTAGGCGCAGATTCTGTCTAGTCATAGTCAAGTATTTGTTTGATGCAGTGTTGTCAGGATAACTTAAGAGTTCCCTGGCAACTCTGCAGTTTCTTGTTTCATCCCATCTTTCCTTGAATTTCACAAGGGAATGTTCTTTGATTAGGTCTGTCACTACCGATTTTGTCAGGCCAATAGAAGGGCCAGGTCCAAAAAGTATTTGGTTGGCTGCTTTCTTGGCTAGTGAATCAGCAAAACGGTTACCTTTCGATGTGGCGCGACCTTTGATCTATCTTAAGGTGACCACATTGTTGATGGATACTTCGGCCAAAGCTTCTTGACATTCTAGTACTAACTCTGAATAAATTCGTGGTTTGTTCAGGGCGAGTAGTGCTTGTCTGCTATCTGTATAGATGAGTATGATCCTTCCAGCGATATTCTTTCTGGTTATTTCTTTTGCTGCTATGAGAATTCACGTTAGCTTTGTTTGAACTACACTGGCACTATTGTTCACAGTCCATTTTATGTTTAGGTTTAAGAATCTGGAGTATATTCCACATCCTGAGCCTTATTTTGTTGTTTTGTCGGTGTAGACATGAATCGTACCTGCCACTTCTGGCTCTTCTATTTGTTCTATTATAACTTTATATGGCTTATGGAAGATATATCTCGGTGAGATGGAATCCATGTTCGCTTGAAGCAGTGGGAGCGTATCAAACACCTCCTGCCAAAAGTGACGTCTTGCCTCACCAGATCCTACATCAGATTCTATTCCAACCGTGCGGAGGCGTGTCATTGTCGTCATAGCAACCTCCTTGATGTAAATATTAAGAGGAGTGAGACTAAGAATGTATGCTTTTTTAACTCTGTTTTCTAAATCCGAGTTCCATGTTAACTTGCTGTCAAAGGTGAGACCTAGGTACTTCATCACTGTTGCAAAATTTAGTTTTGTGTTTAGGAGTTCTGGAGGTTTTAATTTCATTTTCATCCTTTTCCTTGTGAAGAGGACCATTTCTGTCTTTTTAGGATTGATAGACAGTGAATGGTCCTTGCATTACTGTTCTATAATTTTTAGAGCTACTTGCATCCTTTCGCAGAGTATATTCTCAAAATTCCCTGTTTGCAGAATGACCGGGTCATCTACATATGCTATTTTGCAGTGACTGTCATTATTGAGGCGGCTGATGAGGGTGTCGAGGACCATATTTCACAGTAGAGGTGATAGCACCCCTCGCTGTGGACATCTCACAATCTAGCCTCTTATATTCACATCTTCTACACTTATGTTTCGTGCTCACTTTTTGAGAGCATGTTATGTATCCACCCACTAACCATTTGTGGAACATTCCTATTGGTTAGTGAGTGTATTATCTTTGGGAAGGTGGTTTTATCAAAAGCACCTTCTATGTCTTTAAAAACACCCAAAGCGGACTCCTCATCGTCCAGGGCTCTTTCTATCCGGCCAGTAACTAGATAAAGGGCTGAATCAGTAGATCTGCCTGGGGTGTATGTATGTTGTAATGTCTTTGGGTGTATGCATGTTGGTTTGGGTGTAGTGGTGTTGTTGTAATCACCGCATCCCTTATGTACCTTTCGCATAGCCTTTCCAATGTCTTCATGGAAAACAATGTCAGACTAATTGGTCGATATGTTTTTGGGACAGTGTAATCCATTCTTCCAGGTTTGGGTATAAATACTACTTTCACCTCTCTCCATTTTTTGGGGATATACCTCAGAGCCAACGAGGATCTGCTTTACTTGACTGAAGATCTGTACAAAACAACATCGAAAATAGCACTATCATGGAGCATGACAGTTTAAAAAATATGGAATGATTGATATTTATCTACTGTCAGATGGTGTGTCCAAGATTGGTGTCAAAATGACTAAATCAATCACCAAAACGTTGTTGCATCTGCTCAAAGATTTTAAATCTACAGAATATGTAACGGAAATTGACTTCATACAAAAATGCCTCAACGATAACAGATTTTCTTCGGAAGATATAATCATAGATTACTTTCTAAAGTTGACTCAGTGCGAAGAGTTTTTAAATAAGATTGCTAAAGATTTTATAAAAATCAACAAACTTATAAGAGTCAATGATGAATATATAAAAATTTTAATATTTTTCCTTATATTCGTTTTGGATTCGAAAAATGCTAAGGAGATTTTGGAAGATCCTGTCTTTTACACTATACCTTTATTGAATTTTCTTTGTATGGATGAAAAGTATCCTACCATAGCTAAATGGGCTACGCAGTATTTTGATAATGAGTTTGTTGTTCATAATGTGCTTGAACCTCTTTTAGGTAGAGTTGGAGCTTTCAAAGCTATTATCAGGTTAGTGTTCTCAACAGTTTTGTTTTAATATCTACTTTTATATTCCATAAAATGTATAATATAAAAATATAACTTTAACTGTATTCATTAATATTCACATCAGGTATATAGAGCAAGAGGAAGATAAAAAAATGCCTAAAACTCTACTAACTATTCCCAAACCATTTAAACTTTCTGGTTCAGGCGTCCCTCCACCACCTCCCGCCAATACTCCCGACATTAAAAAGTCCGAAGTGGAAGTTTTTGAAAAGACACATCGCACCGTAACTTTCAATATTATAGAAAAGAAGTTGGAAAAAGAACATAAGAAACACGTCACTCAAGCTTTAGCTTTACTAAAGAAAATAAAAGTATTGAGAGTACCTACCAATAAGACAGCTAAAATTTCAACTGAGATAACTGATGAAACTCAGGTTCATACTAAATGGTTTACACCAACAAAGGTAATTATTTAACAATGTGGCTACCATTTCAACTGCGAGTTTAGTCGCTGTACTTACTACTTATTAATAACTCAACCACAAATTATATTACAATAAATCAAATTGTTAAAAAAAAAAATAAAAAGAAAAAGCCGCAGCAGCGCCTATCGGCGTCTGTGAGATCAGCCCACTGAGAAATCTCCCAGTTTCTCGGTGGGCCCATCCGTCCCTGAATAAGAGAAATATTTACTCAAGAAATACTTTAAAAACAATCTTTAAACCTTTCATAAATATTATAAAATAAAAATTGTCATAACACAAATATATAATTAAATCAATCTGAATAATTTAAGTTGCCTCCCAAGAAAGAAGTGGAAATTAAGAAGAATATAGCAACAACCTTAAGAGACGCTTCTCGACTTCTCAAAGAACAAGAAGAGGAAGTGAACAGAATCCAGAACATTTTAAAAGGAGGTTGTTGCAGTCAACAAATAGAAGTGGCATTGGTTGAAGATAGAAAGAACAACGAAAGGGCAGCGTGGGAGTATATTCAAAGAAGACATCTCGAGGGTCTGATTACTTTCGAAGAAGCCATACTGGCAAAGAAGAAACTGTTGGAAGATAATAAAGCCAAATTTTTAGAAGTGCAAGCCGAAAAAATGTATCTGAATCAAATTTTAGATGAATTTAAAGAAAGAGAACAGAAAAGAGTTAAGGCAAAGGTAATAATTTTTCATAAAGTTTTAATCGCATAGTTTCTGTACCGATAAAAGTATAGTGACTGGCGCATAAATAATTAAAGGTATACAGGGTGTGCCACTTAAAAGTTCCACGCCTTCTTATCTTCGCTATTAATTAAAATATCGAAATGTTTGTTTCAAAATGTGTAGTAAACTTTATTATATTATATTCAGTTAATCTGTGAGACTATGACGTACTTTAGGTTTTTCTGGAAATAATAGTAAATGGTAACTTATTTTTAATTTTTAAATGAAAAACCCAATTTTTAATATGGCACTGCATTACCTTTAAACACTCTTTGTAAGCCTTATGGTATCTATTGAGACTAACCCAAGTCACATCAGAGACGTTTCTAAACATTTTTGTTAGTATTAGCCAATATGGCGGCTATTTTGACAGCTGACAGACCATTTTTAATAAATGCTCCTTATCCAAATATATATCAGAATTTTTAATAAAAAAATTGAATCCGTTGTAATAAACTTCTTAAACAAAAAAAAATCATTTTGATTAAAAACGAACTTTTTAGTTGCCCACCCTGTAGATATTTAAATGAATTTAAAATGAATAAAAATATCTGTAATACAATTACTAATTCTGACCAATTCAATAATCCTTTTTAATTTAATAATTATTATTTAATTTTGAATCAAAGATTAAATTTGTAAACTAGATTTTTGCAATAATAATTAAACAATATTTCTGTAAATATTAACAATTAGGTTTAGTAAATATTGTTACCCTGTACCCTACAGTAGTCTGCGGCTGTTACAGAAAAAGTAAAATAAAAAAAGTGCAATGTCACCCATCACCCTAAAGTGTGCTGCGGTCGTTACAAGTAAAAGTTGAGTTGAAAACAAATTGAGTTACCACAAACTAGTGTAGCATTGGTGGCAGCGGTGGGATCCAAAATAAAAGTTCATGGTAAATGCTAGATACAGGTTCCCCAGCATGGTTTTTGAAGATAGAAGAAGAAAAGGAAAGGCGCAGGAAGGAAGGAAGCGAGGAAGGAAGAAAAGGAGGAAAATGAAAAGCAAGAAGAAGAGAAGGAAAGCCGCAAAGAGGAGAAGGAAAGTCGCAAATGGGACGAGAAAAAAGAGAAGAAGGAGAGGCGTAGAAAAACAGAGGTGGGAAATATGAATGGTTTGCTACAAATTCAGGAAAATTTTAAATAACAGATAGATCTCTTAGCCCAACAAGATAACTTAGAAACTAATTTAGACGAGCAGCAGGAGAAACTAAAAACTAATTTAAAGCAACAACACGATAATTTAGAAGCTAATTTAGAGCAACAACAAGAGACTTTAAAAGCTAATTTGGGGCAACAACAAGAAAAGGCTAGAGTAGAGACCAATTAGAAATTAGAAATTAGAAAAAAGAGAAGAAGGAGAGGCGTAGAAAAACAGAGGTGGGAAATATGAATGGTTTGCTACAAATTGAGGAAAATTTTAAATAACAGATAGATCTCTTAGCCCAACAAGATAACTTAGAAACTAATTTAGACGAGCAGCAGGAGAAACTAAAAACTAATTTAAAGCAACAACACGATAACTTAAAAGCTAATTTAGAGCAACAACAAGAGACTTTAAAAGCTAATTTGGGGCAAAAACAAGAAAAGGCTAGAGGAGAGACCAATTAGAACTAAAATAGTGGAGTAAGAGAAAAGAATTCGTAGTCAAGCTTCGGTAAGAAACATTGAAGGTGGAAACACTACCTCGTCTTTATCTATAACCAAACTAAGCCACGTTCGAAACCCAGTTTAACAAAACTATAATATCAAAACCCTTAAGTCACCCACGTTTGACGACCAGACAACATGGGAAACGTATCGACTGCAATTTGAAGCTGCAGCTAGAGCCAATGGCTGGGCCGTGAAAGAGATGGTCGCTTCATTAATAGTGTCGCTGTGACGACAGATAGCAACCGTTTTGCAATTACTTTCCCAAGAGGAACCCACTTATTCGTCTCTCGTCCAAGCTTTGGAGACAAGGTATGGCCAGCAGCATTTGAAACAGGTTATCTAAACCCATCAAAATGTTCGTAGTCAGAAACATAATAAAGAGTCTACAGGAATTGGAGGCCGATATAAAAAAATTGCTGCATCTAGCCTATCCACTGGCGCCCAAAGAATTCCTTGCAGGCATTCATCGATGGACTACAAGATGTGGAAATGCAGCAAACTCTTCGCCTATAACACTACAAGACGTTGAGTGAGACACTGATTGCAGCCCATGATTATGGAGCAGCGAAAATCATATCTAGATCTTCTCGCGCAAAATTAAGATAAATTAAATTCCAGGAAGGCGAAGAAGCCACTACTAACACTATCCTCCAACCTATTATCTCACAAATCTTAAAGATCTTGCAAAATATGCGACGAAACAGCCAAAATGAGGGCAGGATATTCTTCAAAGAACCTAAGAAGTAGGGCTCGTTCTACAAAACGAGAATTAGGGAATGGGGCTAGAAATTCACCTAGATAAACCTTCCGAAGCCCGTCATAATGTCCAATGAGAGAAAATTAATTACAGTAGATGTACCTGCCGGAGTAGCCGGTTACCCACACCTAGCCATCTTTCTAGCAATAATTAGGAAAACGAATAAAGGTCGACATTACAGGGCAGGCGTTGGCTGTAACAGAAGGCCCCGAAAATTCACACTTAAACCTTAAATAAAAATGAACAAAATTTATTGCTCAAGGGGTATATCGACAACCAAGAAGGCACCTTCGTCATTGATATTGGTGCAACCAAGTCTTTTATTCGAACAGGAGTCCTGCATCGAAAACTCGAAGAAGCTTAGTTCTGGAAACAGCTACAGGGTAAAGGGTAACAATATATAATAACTATCTACTTAAATTTTATTTATTGTTGTCTCCGAACTGGTATTTTCTTAGGTAGAACAAACTCACAAAGAGAAAGAAGAGGCCAAAGAGGCAGAAAAAAAGTTCGTCGAAAGAAAATTAGAGGAGGCGAGAATGCGCGAATACGAGTTAAAAGAAATGTTGAAAAAACGAGAACAGGAAAATGCTGCCGAACTAGCTAGCAAGATGGAACTTATCCAAGAAATTAAAAACATTCATGAGATCAACATGAAAATGAATGAAGCTAGGTAAAGTTTCGTTAAATTAAGTAATCCAATGTATTACATATAATCCTTTCTTTTTGTTATTCTTCCTTTTAATTTCTAATTTTGTAATTTTCAATCGATTGATGATGGTATATGCGATGCGATGTGTAGATGCTTTCTCCATTTTGTAGCTTTTCGTATCAATTTTTTTGTCAAAATAAAATTATTATTATTAGAAACTGTAATTGGTTAGCCTAAAGCACAAGCACCTCTAGAAACGATTCAAACGGTACATTCTTTTGTTATCAGCATTTTACTTCCATGATTAGATTAAGATTGAATTGAATTACCTATTGGTCAAGACCTATTATGAGATCTCATCTCTAATTTTATAATTCACAGTTTAAACATCTTCTAATGAAGACCTTTTTTCGGCAAAGTTTTTTCAAATGACGATTTTCAGCTAGATTATGAATTCAAATAATTTCAGCTTTATCCTTGCATTACAAAAAAGAAAAAATAGACGAATTTTTAACACGGATTGATCTTGTTCATGTGATATCCCTTAGTTCCTTCTCCTGTCAAAGTTTCTAGCCATCGATATATAAAACATAGTAAGACACATCGCATCAATACTTTCTTATGAGTAAATGGTAAACTCAGCTCAGCTCAGCTCAACTTTAAGGTTTCCTAACGGATCATGGACATCTGAAATCAATTGATCTGAACCCAATACTTGTAATCCTTATTTAAAATTATTTTAGAGCATCTTTCAGTTAATTTGAAGTTAACAAAATTAATAAATTCTAACCTATTGTCCAATAATAACTATTAACTTCTGTGAAGATTGTAATTTTGGTTTATAATATTTAGACATCCAAGTTCTGAACAATCAACAGTTAAATATAAAACGTATATTTTAGGAGAGAGTTCGATCCAACAGAAACCTCCAATTTAGGTCTACTTTGTGAAATGTCTATTGCGGAATTACGCGAACGTCTTGCTGTGGAAAAAATGAAAATGTGCCAAGAACTGGAAACTAAACACGATAGAGTACAAACTCAAAGACGTAAACAGCAAGATATGATCGAAAGATATAAAGAGTTCATTGACAACACTCGAAAAGCTCCCAAAATGCTAATCGAACCGGTCTACAGGCCTCCAGTATTGGAGGAAAATTCTGAATTGCAGGCTCTTAGAAAACAGTTGGAGGAAAAAAGAAGTTTAAGAATTAGTATGTGATTGTAAAATAATATTCAATAAAAGTTTTATTGAAGTATTTTTAAAGTTTATTTTTATGTTTTGGAAGTTGAACTATATATTGTAATGGATTAATCAGAGTGAAAAATGATCAAACCTCAAATAAGCTATCGAAAATAACGGAATTCTCTAGAGATATTTTTAGTTTTTTTTTAATAAAAAGGATAAGCACTACACATGTTAGCCACACACGGCATTATTATTATTTGTTCATGTATGTGAAATTTGTTTCTAAGGTTTATAAAATACTACTGTTAGTCACGGCGTAAATGAAAACAAACAAGACGCATTCACACAAACACTTCCCACCACAGCAATTACAAATCATTAGTGTTGTCCCCGGTACGCGAGTATTAATATTGAGTTCTTCCTTTAAAATGATAAGAAAATTATAAAAACCAATATTTACAAGCAAGATCAATATCTAATTTATGACTACTATGTATTCTTCACGAAAAAATGCAGTAAAAGTTTAAGGCTTAGCTTTGACTCCATAATATAGGCATAAAACTCTCCCTTATAATTTATCAAACATCATTATTCTGTATGAAAACCTTTAGTTTTAAAATGTATGCCCAATATCTCTATCATGGATATTAGATTTTGTCCAGCAGTAGTAGAGTCTCTGTCACAAGTGTGCCTAAAAACTGACTAGCTAAGAAACCTATTTCGATGTTTTGAATCTTTTTGTAAAAACAAAATATTTAAGACAAAAAAAAAACAAATGAGAATAATATGCTGCTGTTAAATTGAAACGAACATGGAAGTTCCGATGAAAAAAATACAATACTAAGAAGAGATCGGCAACCACATATTTGCATTCAACTAGTATTTTTTGTGTTCAAAATTAATAACCTGATAAATTTATAGTTCTTGTTGTTTTAGCATATTTAAAGATGCTTTCCTATGCAGCATTAATATTTCATATTTCTAATTTTAAGACTAGCCCAAATAAATATACAATTTTGTATTTAAAAAATGTTCTAATTTTGTTAACTTAAGCCAGTAATACTCAAAGTGTGCTCCGCGGATCCCTTGGGCTCCGCAAAGCCTTTGTGGGGACTCCGTGAACAAAATAATAGTCACAAAAAAAAGAAGCAGTACTATCGCCACAAAAGGGAGGGACCTGGCTTGATGACCTTTTTTTAGAAGTTATTATTTTATTTTATTTATTGATACACTGCTCAACAGGCAATTCCAATTACAGAGCAGGAAATTCTGACAAAAATAATTAAGAAAACATAAGAATAGGTAAACATTATACAGACTTAAAAATTTCAGACTTGATGCTATATACACTACAATTGAATATATCTATTGTGTTACTGACTAAGTTACATAATGTACAAATATTATGCAGTAGTAATGATTTTAAAACATTAGTTCTTGCTGATGGGAGCTAGAAAGTAGACTGCGACCGTGTAGTAGTTCTCGGAACGTTAAAAGCAAGTTTTTCTAATAGTTGTTCGCAATGGATTTTGTTATGTACTAATTTGTATATGAAAATGATTAGATGACAATTTTGCCTTGTCTCAAGATCAATAAAGTTATGTCTGTTAAGCAGATATTGATGAGGTGTACCTATTTCCGGATAAACGCCATCCGGTTTGAAGCAAATGAATTTTAACAATCGCCGCTGCACTGATTCTAACTTGTTCCGATGAGTTTGGTAATGGGGATTCCAAATTATGGAAGCGTACTCCAGTTTGAGTACGCTTCCATAATTTGGAATCCCCAACGAATGAAAAATACAGCATTTTAAGAGTTTCTATATCTAAAAACTCCCTACTAACACGTAACAAAAACCCATACATTTTTGATGCAGCAGATACAATTTTTTCAATGTGTAATATAAATGAGAGCTTCGGATCAAAAGTTATACCAAGATCGACAAAATGTTCAGGTCTTTGTAGAGATGACCTGTTTATCTCGTAGTTGAATAAAATAATATCCGGTTTTAATGAAAATGATATCATAAAACATTTTGATGCATTTAAAGGGAGAAGGTTTAAGCGACACCAATTTTCGACTGATTTTATGTTATTATGCATACGTTCGCAGTCAGCATTGGAGAAAATTGAACTGAAAATTTTTAAATCATCTGCATATAAAAGGCAATTTACATCAATGCACTTCACGATGTCGTTAATAAATATATTAAAAAGCAGAGGGCCAAGGACAGATCCTTGCGGCACTCCAGACGTTGCAAAGTATTTTACAGACTTAAAACCGTTTAAGAAAACATACTGTTGACGATTTTGTAAGTATGAACGGAACAGTTTTATGACAGACTCTGACAACCCGTAACCGATCAGTTTGTTATAAGAATCCAGAATCCCATGATCGAGTCTGTCAAACGCCTTTGAAAAGTTTGTATATACAACATCAGTTTGCAGTCGATTGTCCATATTGTCTGCGATATGCTGTGTGCATCTAACGAGGTTTGTTACAGTAGATCGACCTTTTACAAAACCATGTTGATGGGATGATATCATAGTGAAATATAATACTCTAAGTGTTTGTGCAGAAGGATTTCGAAGACTTTACTAAAGTTGCATATTATCGATATTGGTCTAAAATTCGCAATGTCCGTTTTGTCACCTTTCTTAAATATAGGACAAACCTTGGAACTTTTCCACAAATTAGGTACAGTATGAAGCTTAATGCACATATTTAAAATAATCATTAGAGGTACAGTAAGACTTACAGCACAGTCTCTAACAATAAACGCTGGTACATGGTCAGGGCCGGTGGTTTTCTTCGGTTTCATCTGCCTTAAAGCCCATAACACTTCTTCTTCCTCAAATTTAGAGAGGTTAAATATTGAGTTACATTCAAAGTCGAATGGTGGAGTAGCGTTTGTGGATACATTATAGGATTTGCTAAAGTACTCGGCAAATCCATTTACAATGGTATCAGGATCACTTAACGACACATTGTTGTATGTCATGTTGTTAGATACCGAGTTATTACCCTTCTTTTTATTAATATAATTTCAAAATTTATTAGGATCATTTTTTATATGAGATTCTGCTGACCGTACAAAAGATTGATATGCATTTTCGATGTCTAATTTAATTTTAGTTCTCAGACGTTGAAACTCGCGAAAAGTACCCTCATCATTAAGAGGAAGAAGGATATGATTTTGCTTGAGGACTTTTTTAAATGTGTTTAGGGCTCCGTCAAATATTTCGCTTTTCAAAATGTTTGAGAAACACTGACTTAAGCAATATACCAAGCACATGTTTTCATTAGTAAATGCCACATTCGAATTGAAAAATAGCTTTTTACTAATTGTAATTTCTTGTCTCTAGGTAAACGGAGGTTCCCCAGCAGAAAGAGCAGGTCTTGTGGCAGGCGATTCAGTAATTAAGATAAATAACGTAGACGTCTTCAATTTAAGGCACAAGGATGCCCAGGATGTAGTAGTTAGAGCTGGACATGGTTTCGAAATGACCATACAACGGTAAGTGTTTCATCCAAATCTATATCGTTTGTTTGAATCTGCTCCATTTGAGAATCCTGATATGCGAAATTATATTAAAAATAAGTATAACAGGTTTTAAAACTATTTCCGGCTCAGTCGGCTACAAACCCACGATATCGCCCGACTGTGGCAAGAGCTCCATCTGTTGCCACCGAAATAACGTTTGTGAATGGAATCGATTTTTCTTTAAAAAAATCACTCAAAACATTAAATACTGATTCACCTTTAGTGTCCCTCTTCAAAGTTTTCGCGAATAGTAGCTCTTCATGAATTTTTTCGCCCATAACAAATCGAACATATGCCAATAATAATGCTTCATTGCCAGGTAAAGTTGACTCTTTCAGTTGAATAGAAAAATGAATTGTTCGTAGATAATCACACAAGAAACTTTCAACATCAGAGCTCATTTCATCAATACGTCTTTGTACAGAGTGGTTACTCAAAGAAATTCTTTTGAGTATTTCAAATAAACATTTGTGCAGAACAGTTTTTAAAATCTCTTCAACAGCAGGTAAAATTAACTGTTCTCCAATGGTGTGCGGTTTTCCAGATTTTGCGATAAGTAATGAGTTATTGTAAGATGCCCACAAGCCATCATCGTTGCTTTCAGACGTTGAAGAGAACATACTGTGCACAGTGGGTCTCTTTTCATATTTTTCTTTTAATGTTTGGAAATATTTCAAATCTTTACTTATTTTATCAGGATGACACCTTCTTAGATGATCTTTCAGCTTTGATGGTTTCATAGAGTCATTGCTCAAAACTTTGTTGCATAAAAGGCATGTGGGCAATCGTTTGTCTGCCTTTGATGGAAGAAAACTCCGCAATAATTAAATGAATAAGATAGGTAATAAAAATAAAGTAGGGATGATAAGTTCAATCTTTTTCGGCTTAAAACTATATGCATATAACAAATAGGCAGGTAGATACTTACTTTTCAGACACTGGCTAATATCGATTCACTTTACTTTTCTTTTCGAAAATCTGGAAACAAATTCAGTCACTGGCTAACACTAATATCGATTCACTTTACTTTATGAAATTCCAGAAACAAATGATTAACAATTATCCTTGACATTCGTATTTATATTGGTGAAGAATCAAACACGTCCATGCAAGATTGCAAGCACATTTACCACAAGTCGTATTAATTTGCACGTCTGAACAAGCGTTGCGGACGGGACGGCAGCCGGCGCAGTAACGACAAGTCTCGACGCGTTGTACTGAATATGGAATATGCAAGTTTTTACAATTTCTTTATCACATGGAAAAATGAGTAATCAATTGTTCAATAGTATATTGCTTTACTATCGAAACCAAATTAATTTTCATGCACCCCCGCTTACGATTGTGGACCCCCATTTTTTATTACGCCCAACGTAGACCCCCGTCGAGTCTCCCGTGGACCTCTGGGGGTCCATCTGGACCACTGTGAGAAATAATTTTCTAAACGACTATATAGCGATTTCATTGATATTTAAAATTGTGGTACTTTTGAGTACCACCAGACGACAAAGGGATGTTCTGAAACCAATTTTCAAACATAGGGCCAACCATTTCTGCATGGCAGTCTTTTGTTTTCTTTAACTCGAACATTAATAAACCATCTGGCAAATATCCATCGGTGCTTCCAATGTGGGTTATTATTAAACGATTTTCTTTTCCTTTTGGATTTTTTAATCTGCAAGAGACCCCTTCCATAAAGGCTTGTTTGTAGTTTTGATGGAGGTATCTTGCCAAATTTTTGTTACTGTATATCCAGCATTAACACATGTTTTATCTAAATAAAATACCTGTTTATGATGATTGGTTGACCGATAGTTTCCTTAAATAATCATGTGTCCACACAATGATTTCGTCTCTCTCTGTTAAAAAGCTGTTTCTGTCATATTTTTTGTAACGAAAATTTAATTTATGTAATATTTTTGCAGATGGAAATATTATATATTTGGAAATGAATGACTATTTTGTATTAATGAGTGTAATTTTTTAAGTGTTGGAATTTCATTTAGAAAGAAAAAAAGAATGTACCATTTGCCTTATTACATTCTTTATATAAATTTGAATAAAGGTCTTGTTCCTTCCTGGAGGCTTTTCGGATGTGAGACTTCTCCAATAACTCTTTAATAAATGTTATACCCTGTCCGCTTAGGTCTCACATTTAGTGGTTATTTCATCCACAGAAAGTAAAACAAAGTCTTTTCGAAGATTATTAAATACAATAAGTACGATATTTTTTTCTTTATGTTCATATTATAACTACAAATAAGCATTAAAGGATGAGGTGTAAATAAAATGATTATCTCTTAAACCTGTACTTCGTTCTGCAAATTAAATTACTGCACTCCTTTCGTCTCTTACCTATAGAAACCGTGTCTTTTTTTTCATATAACGTATACTTAATTATTTTTTTAAACCTACATTATGCATTTCTCTGATTTGTAACCCAGACCCAAATTCCATAATGGCACTTCCAAACTTAAGAAATGGAGCATGCAAAAAAGTATATAGTTTCCAACCTATTTATTTCACTGGCAACACATAACAGACAACCCAGAAACCTTCTTCGTAAAAAATTCCGTCGACCTATTATCATCAAAATAATTGAGCAGTTGCCCAGTTAAATGAACGGTCGCTCTATTTTTGTTCGACCTCTAAACTTTTAATGTTTTTTTCAGAGGTGGATCTACTTGGAAGCCTTCAGTTATCCCTACGGGTTCAATATATTCACCCACGACCAATGTTAACAATGTCAGTCCAGTAACTAGGACCTCTTTGTCGGCGAAACAATCTGATAATATCGGAAGCATCGGCACAGGACATAATTTATCAGCAAAACCTTTTAATCCTCAGGTAAGCCACATCGGTTGTGCCATATTTGTAACACAATTTGGATTGTATAACAGGTAACATTCTTTTGGTTTGATTTATAGTATTGTAAAGCATTTAAAAAAACATTTGTTATTTAAGTATTTAAAATGTTACATAAGATGTATTGGTCTGATTAGAAGTCAACTTGAAGAACGGCCAGTTAACTAATACTACAAGTATAGAATACAATTTTCATTTCTCTTAATCTTTATTTAATAATTTCTCCATAGTGGTTCTGGTCGTTTATTATTTTTTTTTTTTGAGTACATATTCGGTAGTCGTATCATATTCATGTATCCAAAAATCAAGAAAAAGGACTATAAATAAACAATTATTAACTAACTAGTACTATATAAAGATAAACAGAAAATACATCTGCAAAAATACAGTAAACAAAAGAATGTAGATTTTTTAGTTACTAACAAAGGTACGAGTAATATTATGTCTATAAACACATAGTCCTATTTCTTATAACTAAGCAGAACTATTTTCTATTTTGTTCAAAGACATCTAGTATCTTTACTAGCTTATCAGTGAGCATTATACCGTAGTATTAGGATATAAAGAAATTCTGTATTTTTTGGACTATTTTGAACATGGATCAATTGTAGATATATGTGTCTCCGAACGATTAGGGCATAGCTCCTGTGATAAAGACGATTTAACCCAACTCCATCTTTCCTAATAACTAAATTTTCATTCTTGACTAAATTTAACCAATTTTTAGTCCTTCTGACTCCATTTAACTTTAGTTTGGAGTTCAGAAGCGTACTCTTTACTCCATCTGGTCCAAAATCTTTAAGTAAGGGACAATAAATGCTGGTATTGATTCTCCGGTATTTCTTGCATACCTCCTTCAGGCAGGGTAACTAATGAACGACTAATCAACAAATAGACTGTAGTTAAGGGATTTAAATATTCTGAACCAGAGGATAAGGGACACAAAAATTTTTAAATGTTAAAATTGATTCTCCAATAACTCGTTTTAAATGAAATTTTGTACTTTTATTACCAGCGTCACAAATACCGTCCTAGGTCTCTGGTTCAAATTCGGTTCGAAGGACCAAATATATGTAGCTTGATAGCTAGATTAGATTACGAGTTGGTCGTTATTTGTCCTTGTCCACCGCTACCTTCTCAGATCTATTGTGAGACTCCGTTTGTTTTAGAGTATGTCGTCTAGTCTGGTCTTTTTTATAAGACTTAGTAGCTTTGACAGTGTAGTTGTTTTTCTTCGCCCAATGTTAGAAACCTCATTCCAGCCAGGCCTTCATATTGGTACAGGACGTGGAACGATGTTTCCTCTTCTTCACAGAACCTGCACAAAGTTGCTTCTTCTGCTGGATTGATGACACTTATGTGGCTTTTGAGGCGACAGTGTCCAGTAAGAAGGCCTACTGTTATCCTAACGGTTTAACGTTTTTGATCCAGTAGGTCTTTCGTGAACTTGGCCAATGGTTCCTTAATAAACTGTTTGGCCTGTTTCCGTCTTGGATAGTGGTTCCACCATTCCGGAGACTTTTTGCATTCATTGTTTAATGGATGCACAATGCCTTAGCAACTCCACAGAAGGGTTCGGGGCCTGTCATGGCCTTATGTTATCTGAGCCTTCTTAGGCTAATTCGTTGGCATTTTCGTTGCCCTGATATTCCTCATGGGCTGGAACCCAGGCTAGGATCACCTTATTTTGAGTACTTAGCTCTGTCAGGTCTTCTAGACAGTCTTTCACTAGTCTTGATTTGATTTCTGGTGAGAGAATTGCCTTTAGAGCTGCTTGGCTATCAGAGTATATGGCAATAGTTTTGCCTGATACTTGCTGATTTATTTTTTTTTCTTGCACAGTATTGTATGGCAATTAATTCAGCCTGGAACACTGCTGCATATTTTCCTAAACTCAGCGAAATCGTTGTATTCGACCATAGATTCTAGCACCGGCTCCTTCCTTGGTTTTTGAACCGTCTGTGTACCAGACGAGTTCAGCCTGTACGGGAGGTCCCTGTTTCCAGGATTCTTAGGCTGGTATTTGAATTTTCAAATATATGTAGGGCTGTGGACTGTATTTCAATAAAAAAATCACTTAATAAAAACAAGTCATAACCTTTCCTTTAAAATAAGTAAATAATATGGTCAAGTGACCTAACTGATGGTCCAAAATATACTGCTGTCTTTACCCAGGGTAGGCGAAGATACACGTATACGAAGTCGGCATAATTTTACTAAAGTTTTAACACGGATGTCTACAATATTTTGATATTATTAATAAATTAGTGATTCTATATTAAAGCAGATAAATAAATTAAACTTTCTAGTAAGATTAATTTCTTCGGACTTAATTTACCTATATTTTAGAACATATAGCCAACTTTATGTTTTGTCTTCCGCCTACAACTTACATAATAATGCAATTTATTAAGCAGTGCTTTTCATCATTTCTTCATAACGTTCTGGCAGTTCCACGTTTAAATTTTAGTTTTTTTTCTAATTAGATAACTATCATTATCTTTAAAAACAACATTTAGTTATTAAAAGATTTTATTCACAAGTTTGTAAAAAAAAACGTTGAATGGCTTCAATCAATAGATTAGTAGCAGCTTCAGCTATTTGCGTAGTTGATTTTGGCACCAAAAATGCTCTTATATAAGTTATCTGGTAACAAATAAACCATTTGTTTTTTGGCTGTTAGTTCGCCTTGCCAAAAATTATTTCAGATTTTATAATGAGTTGTTTCAAGTTGTAAATATGTGTTTAGTAAACATAACATTTTACTCTAAAGAACATTATGGAATTATTTATTATTTCTTTATTTTCAATATTTTTTTTGTCATATTGGAAATATGTAGGTTATTTAGATATGTGGTAATCATATCTCTTTCCAAAAAAGGTCAATAAAACTAGCAAGCTGGATATATCCTAAGGGAAAAAGACATATTTTAATTATGTAAATGTTTGTAGGACATAAAAAAGGCTTTAGTTTTTAATGTGAGAGTAAGTAAGAGTAAATTATCTTTAATTTTGATAATATCGAAGACTATTAAAAGAAAAATTGATTAGAATTGAAAACTACTAATCGAATTAAATTACGGGTTTTGAGCTTACATTAAATTGTAATTAGATGAAACAAAATGGATTATATGTATTTTGAGGTGATCTTTTTGAAAAAAGGCAAAACAAAATGTAGCTGTTTTTTGAAAGTGCCGAAATTTTGGATTTTGTCAATTTTTCAATTTTGCGCAGGCGCATGTCGGAAATAAATCAATATTTTCAAAACGCAGTTTACGACATTTAAAAGCTTAGAAAAAATGCTAATTTTCATGTCTCTTGAGAAATTTTGATCCGAAGCACCGTTCTCGCGGTATGGACGATTGAAATTTGTTTAGTATTTTGAGGTGGCGAAGGTCGAAAAATTGAATTTGTTAAAAACAAAACTGCGTTTTGAACTTAAGGGATGTGACTATTAATTCCCAGAAGGGGCAAGAGAAAAACCAAAATTGAGCATATGGCGGAAGGGCAAAGTGTACCGCGGGCCTAATTTCATTGTTTGCCTATAACGGCCAAACTATTTGAATTTTTTTAATGCCACTTACAGAATTTACTTTTGAATGTAAAATCTTATGTGTGTGTGTGAATTTCACCGAAATCGGACTATAATTGCCAAGATATCAAATAATTAAACACATTTTTTCCGTGCCACAAAAATTTCAAAAATGCACACAATGGCTCGAAACTGTTTTTTAAGTTCTTTGTTGTGTCTAGAATACGATTACATTACGGAAAGGTCTGCAAAAATATTTTATATATTTTTTTAACCACTGTTCATTGAGTGACGACCAAAAAACGCGGTTTTTGAGAAAAGTTGCCTAAAATTGACGATTTTCAGTTTTTTGGTCTGAAAATTGAACAAACCCAAATTTCGTGTCTTCTGAATGTGCATACAAAGTTTAAAGTGTGTATGTTTCTTCTAACTTGTAGAATTCTTCCGACAAAAGTATCATTACATGCGCTCTGAGGGATCCAAAACTCATGTATACACTGCATTTCTGTAATTTGACTTTTTTTGCGATTTCCAGTTTTAAATTTCTTACATACCTAAATTTATTGGGCTTAAAATTTATTAAATTGTATTTTACTGACTTGTTATAAGACGTTTCTTGAGTTTTGTGCAAAATATAAAATTACCGCAAAATTAGCCGCACGTTGCATCAAGGATAGCCATGGTCTCGGCGTTCGCTATCCGACAAGTTTAAACTTCAAACGGTCATATTATTACAAATTGAATCGCTTGATAGTGTTCATCGGCATAGATTTTTAGTATCCGTGTTAGTTTTTTCAAATATATTTTTTGTTTTCGGAAAACCCGGAGAATATCATATGGGAAAAAAATTTAAAAAAAACTACGCCTTCCGGTTTCCTGCGAATTCCCGAAAAATTATGGCAGATTTTGCCACGGTACTTATTTTATTTGAGAGCCAACAAAAAATACGCAACTTCTCTCATGGGCACATATGTCTAACATTTATAATTTCGCCACAAATTCATCGCAAATTTCATGTCCATGGTTCTGATCAAAGAAACGGAAAAACAACCTTTTGGTAAAAGCACTTCTGGCGGCGAGAAATTCGCCATTAAAACTACCTGTGCAATTAATTTCCGAATTATTTTTGCCTCCTTTTTCGATTGGTTTATTTATTTTTACTATCGGAATGATACTTGCACAGATAATTAGCATTTTTACCATGGAAAATTCCGGAAAACCCGGTTTCTCCTAATTTAAAAAGAATTGAACAACAGCTACATCTTTTTTTGCTTTTTTTCGGAAAGATCACATTAAAATACATAAGTCCACTTTGTTTCATCCAATTACAAATTAATGTAAGCTCGAAGGGGCTTTTTTTCGTTATTTAATTGGACTATACGTCCTTATGCAAATACAACCAAGACTATTCAATTAAAAACGTCAAATTCATTACTAGGGGTACATATTGATCAACATTTACCATATTATTTACCTTTAAGCAAATTAAAAATGTATTAACCATCAAACAATAAAAAATTCGAAAGTCGAAGCACATTTTTCCATATGGTATTGTGAAATACGGAAAATTTTATGACTGTTATTCTCAAAATTTGGAAATTATCAAAAAATATGCTTTAAATATAATATACAGGGTGTCGCAAATTGTTTTACCTATGCTATAACTTCTAAACCATGCAAGATAATCGAACCGGACAAAAGTCATCCATTATAATTGGCGGTGTACGTCGAAATAAATGAAAATTTGATGACCCACCCTCAAAAACTACCCCCTGGAACAACCCCCTCAAAAATTATTAACGACACCCTAATTTTTTTTCTGCTCATTTTTGTAGCCGCTACTTTCCTCTGTAAAAATGCTTTTAAAATTTTGAAATCGCTCTATAAATAAGATTCGTTTTTTTTTATTTTACATCAAGTTGCTTGCTGTCAAATTCATAGTAAGTTTTCTAGCGCATTATAAACAATACTATATCAATCTCTCTCTTGTCAAACAGAAGTGCAGCTTAAATACTCGATAACATTAGCAGATTTTACTTGATAAAGTTTGCAATAAATTTAGAGTTTGTCAAGTCTCAACAAATTATTTCAAAATGCCTACTGTGTTTAGTTCCAAGTACACCGATATGATAATTATTTACGGCGAATGCGCAAGAATTCAAGACAAGCTAGACAATTATACTATGAACGTTTTCCGAATAGAACAATTCCCTCAGTTAGAACAATTTCCAATTTAGAAAGAAGTCTTAGACAAGGACATTTTCCTGACGATAAACATCATGAAGGACACAACAGAATGATCAGATATGAAGAAAATATTATACACATTTTGGCTTATGTTCATGTAAATCCACATGTTTCTCTCAGAGATTTAACACTCGAAATTGGAATAAGCAAAAGTAGCATCCAAAGAATATTAAAAGACAATAAATATCATCCTTATAAAAGACACTTGGTCCATGGTACACCCTAGTGATCTTGAAATTCTCGCTAGAATGCAGGTAAAACTAAATGACGATGCCACATTCTTAGATAAAATATTATGCAGCGACGAATCACGTTTCCATAATAATGGTGTATTAAATCGTCATAATTTCAATTACTGGTCCCGAACAAATTCCTACTGGGTAAGAGAAACAATGTTTTAAAATATTTGGGGCATAAACGTATGGTGTGGTTTGTTCAGTGGTAGGATTATAGGTCCTCATTTTTATGAAAACACTCTAATGGGAATAGGATATCGTGATTTTTTAATCAATACCGTTCTTGATTTGTTGGAAGGTGTTCCTCTTAATGAAAGACGTGATATGTGGTGGCAGCAAGATAGAGCACCAGCTCATAATGCACAAATTGTTAGCCAATATTTGGCAAACACTTATGGAAACCGTGTTATATCCACGCATTCTCTAATTATCCAGTGGCCGGCTAGGTCACCTGATTTGTCACTTCTAGATTTTTTTCTGGGGTACTATAAAGGACGTAATATATGAAACAAACGTAGTATACAAAACAAAACCAGAGGACTTAGAAGATTTAAAAAATAGAATTAGACAGGCTTGTAACAGATTTACCCCGGCCATGATTCGAGCTGCCTGTACTAGAAATTTATTGTTAAGGTATGACAAATGTGTGGAAGTGGGAGGTAGGCAATTTGAGCACATATTATAAGTTATTACTACTCTTTTTTTGTTGATATTTATTTCTTGTCTTCTCCTTCTCTTGTTTCAATGTATTTTTTTAATTATGTGTCACCTAATAAAGTATTTTTTATCATCAACTTGATGTACAGTTTTATTTAATTTCTCACTTATTTATGGAGCGATTTTAAAATTTTAATAACAGTTTTACAGAGAAAAGTAGCGAATACAAAAATGAGTAGAAAAAAAATTAGGGTGTCATTAATAATTTTTGAGGGAGTTGTTCCAGGGAGGTAGTTTTTGAGGGTGGGTCGTCAAATTTTTATTTGTTTTAAAGTACACCGTCAATTATAATGGATGACTTTAGTCCGGTTCGATTATATTGTAAGGTTTAGAAGTTGTAGCCTGGGTAAAACAATTTGGGACACCCTGTATAATACTATAAATTTAACCTATGGAAGCTCCTTATTCAGAAATTTCTTTCTTTAATCTTTGTAAACTCCATTGTTTTAAAATCTTTTGCTTGCCACATAAAAATAGAAATATTTAAATCACCAAGGTAACAAAATTAATCGAACAAAAATCATTTCAAATAAATAACACTTTGCAATTTGAAAAATTGGCACCTCTAAATATTGTATAATATAACCTCTTAGTTTAAATATAAATAAATAATTAAAAAAAGAAAAAATAGAAAAATATTTAATATAAATAATATATTAAATAATATAATGTTAGATTTTGTATTATAAAAAAAAGTAAAGCCCATTTTATACATAATTAAATTATCGCTTTTCATTAAAAAGATACCTGGCCATAGAGTTTTTATTGGGACATCCTAAATACCAATTAGGTTTTTCCAACAGACACCCCGATCAAACTGGAATTTGTTTTAGAGTTAATTTCCATACCCTTTATCATGCATGCCACCACGTGGTACAGAATGTAGATTCATAGACCATAGTGATATAAAGTAAGATTTTTTTATTTTCTAGGTTAATGGTGCAGTAAACGGAGGATCAAAATTAGTCAATAAACAGTACAATACCCCCTTAAAATTATATTCCGAAGAAAGTATAGCAGAAACTCTCTCAGCTCAGACAGAAGTTCTTTCGACAGGAGCTTTAGGGTAAAAATACATAAAATAATAATGCTAATTTAACGCAGTGAATAATCAAATACACTTGATTTACTAGTACTATTTAATAATACTTTTATTAGAACTCAAAAATGTTTTTAAACTATTATGCACTTAGGCCTCACTAGGCCCATTGTGCATCCTCCTAAGTAGCTAGGCACCTCCTAGCTTGTGAGTCAGCCTACAGATTTAATGTAGTTGACAATGTCGCCAAGAGGTGCTTCTCTTATATCGGCCGGTGTTAGGCAATTATCGCCGAACAAAAATATTCTAATAAATGAGAGCGTCGAGCAATCGTAGAGGATATGATCGATGGTCACATCTTCTTGATCACACCCCCTGCAATGTGCGGATTCTGACTGCCCTATGATATGGATATGCTTTCGTACTTGGCAATGACCAGTTAGAATGCCTGTGATCAGGCACAGCTTCTGTCTAGTCATTGACAAGTATTTGTTTGCTATAATGTTGTCAGGATAACTTAAAAGCTCCCTGGCAAGTCTGTAGCTTCTTGTTTCATCCCATTCTTGCCTTGAATTTCACAAGGAAATGTTCTTTAATTAGGTTTGTCACTACCGATGTTGTCACTTTGGATGTAGCATGACTTTTGATCCATCTTAAGCTGACCACATTGTTGATGGATCAAAAGCACCTTCTATGTCTATGAAAATACCCAAGGCAGACTCTTTATTGTCCAGGGACCTCTTTGTCCGGCCAGCAACTAGGTGAAAGGCTGAATCAGTAGATCTGATTGGGGTGTATGCATGTTCATTTGGGTGTAGTGGTGTTGTTGTAATCATCATATCCCTTATGTACCTTTCGCATAGTCTTTCCAATGGATTCATGGAAAATAGCTAAATGGTCGGTATGTTTTTGGGATAGTGTAATCCATCCTTCCAGGTTTGGGTGTAAAGACTACTTTTACATTTCTCCACCTACCAGGCGAGGTGTGAGTTCTTCCAGATCGCAATGAAGTAGGGCTGGATAGTTACCGTCAGGACCTCTTGAGAGAGCTTTGTGAAGCCTCGATTCCTGCGGAAAAACTTCGATTTCTTCGCATTATGATCTCCATATCTCTCTGTTTTTATCTAACGAGTTTTTTGTATTCTCTGAAGTGAGATTAGTATTGAGTATTAACTTATTGCCATTTTTTGTTAATTATTTTTTAGTGTAAATTTCAAGAAAAACGAAAGAAACTACGACTCGTCTAACAGTGAAGTTCTGAGAGCATTGAAAGAAGCTGAAAGCGATCCAAATTATCACGATCAAGGTAAAATTGGAAGCAGTTGTTTTTCTATAAGTTTATTTTACTAATCATTTCTATATTTTTCTATTTCTGAATATTTTATACTTCCTATATTTAAATTTTTTTTAACAATTTACACAATCTATCACATGGTCTCTTCAGTGCAGATGGGATAAAATTAAAAGCTCGTTTGCACTACTTCTACTTAGGATTTCGATTAAGCTAAGGTGTACTTTAACTTAAGGTGAACTCTAATTTGATATAAAGTAGATGTTGGCAACAGTGTAAAATTTCTAAGAATATTTACTAATAATAACTGTAAATGTTACAGCATTAAATTGTTATTTTTTTTAAGTTTATGTTGTATTTCAAAAATTCAATTGATTTAGATTTTTATTCTGATCTGTTGTATGTATAAAAATAAAAAAAAAATTAAAAAATAACAGACAACGGATTCCAAATTATACAATTGTAATCAAAATATTGTGTTCTGTAATTAATTTGTCAAGGAATTTAAAAAGTACATTTATCTCATCTAAATAATCATCCAATAATCTAACAGATATTCGAAAAATCACTTTGTAATTTAAGGTTTTGCAGAAATGAAACAAAAACGTCGCGTCGATTGAAGAAATTGTGATTCTCATATTTTAGAAATTCTCGAAATTTTGTGTCGATATCATGTCGAAATGTTTGTATGAAAATATGTTTTGCGGAAGTTTTTGTTGGTCGAATTCTCATGGGATAATTTATCTTTTCTGGTTATTGGGTTTGTACATATGTAAAATTAGGGACCCCGCAAACAGAAATATTGCTTTTATTTATTAGGCATCATAGATAAGATTTAATTGTCTAAAAGATTTTTCGTTAAATGTAGGATTTTGAATTAATCAGAATGAAACTTTTCTTTAATAACTGGAATTAATAAATTTATGAAGGTACTTAGGTGAGGTACGAGGGTGGATCAATAAGTACCCGTGTTTGAATGCAGGTGGCGTTGCTGAGGGAAGTTGGCATTACTGTCGTGTACTGTCATCTGTCACCATACTAAAACCGTTTTAAAGCGATGAACCAGAAATCACTTTGGTTATACCCTTGGTTAACCTTGAAATCACGTGACTAAAGCCCTAAAAAGACAACCGATTATTGTAACGCATTAACGTTAAATCGTTTTTAAGGAATATGACATGAAATTTTGATATTTAATTTCTAGGTTAATTTTATGAAACTGGCCGGAATAAAATTGTGTGATGTTGATATGTGTGGACTGAATGTTGGAATTTAATAAGGAATAGTTTGACGTGTTTTTTACATGGTATCACAAGCATTTTTTGATAATTTACGTAGCTTATATCATTTGCAATTTTGAGTGAGCTAATTCTATAATCTAACCAAAAAACACTAATTGCATGTCACTTCCAATTGTCATTATTACCCCACGTCTGGACCCAGATATTTACCGGTTTTAATTAATGACGTTTTAAAGGACTTAAATATGACGTTATGGAAAGTAACCAAAGATAACAAACATCGCTTTAATTAAAACGGTATAAAGCGGTAAATACCGTAAATTACCGGTTGATCGCTTTAAAACGGTTTATATTTCAAACCTTTTCAAACTGATTCATAGGTTGGTTTTTATTTGGCAGCCACTTGTACCATACGTGTTTCGCATTAATAAATAAAATGGTAAAGGAACAATATCGATCCCTAATTCGCTTTTTATTTTTGAGTGGAAAAACAAGTATCACGTTAAAAAACATGGATGAAATAAAAACAAAGTTTGAGACCCTTCACCATCTATGACAACCGTAAGATCTTGGTTCAACGAATTTAAAAGTGGTCGTACATATGTTTTTGATGAGGAGCGACCAGGTCGCCCGGCAGACGTTGTTACCGAGGAAATCGTTAAAAAGGTCTACGACATGATTGTCGCAGATCGCCGAATGAAAGTGCGAGAAGTAGCAGAGGCCGTAGGCATATCATACGGAACGACAATTAATATTTTGCATGATAAGTTAAACATGAGAAAGGTATCGGCCCGATGAGTGCCGCGATTACTTACGGTGGACAACAAGCAGATACGGCTGTCAATGTCGAAGCAGTGTTTGGAGCTCTTTAATCGAAATTCGCAGGAGTTTTTGCGTCGAGTCGTCACCGTTGATGAAACCTGAATACATTATTATACGCCAGAGACCAAACGACATTCGAAGCAATGGATTTTTCGGGGTGAATCCGCTCCGAAGAAAGCAAAGACGGTCCCATCGGCCGGAAAGATCATGGCCACGATTTTTTGGGATTCCAAGGAAATAATCCTCATCTACTTTTTGCAGAAAGGAAGTAAGATCACAGGGTAATACTGTGAATTATTGGACCGATTCGATGTAGAATTGAAGGAGACATAGTCTCATTTAGCTAAGAAAAAAGTCCTGTTTCACCACGATAATGCACCAGCACATTCATCGAGAATTGTCGCGGTCAAATTGCAAGAACTGCAGTACGAATTGCTGCCGCACCCACCGTACTCGCCCGACTTGGCTCCATGCGACTTTTTTCTATTCACCAACATGAAAACGTGGCTCGGGGGAAAATTCAGCTCTAACGAGGAGATTATCGTCGAGACTGAAGCATATTTTGCGGAGTTCGAGAAATCATATTTTTGGAGGGGTTAAATAAATGGCAGAAACGTTGGGAAAAGTATATAGCACTAAAAAGAGATTACGTTGAAAAATAAAAATAAATTTTTTTGAAAAACTTGCCTCTTCCTTTCTAACACGGGTACTTTTTGATCCACCCTCGTAGGTTACAATGCCGAAATTACATCCTTGAATTTAGTCTAAATGACAACCAGTTTCTTCTTCTTAATTTTAAAATGCAAGTTGTCAGAAACCAAATTTTCATCACTATTATAAGTGTTACTTGATTAAATAAATACCCGTACTTGTCGGACTAAGGTTCTATAATCCAAGTCACTCCAGACTGCTTTTCATTAACTTTCACAATAATATTTTTTTTATTTTATTAATGCAAAAATAAGTTAAACGCTTTATTAAAAAAAATATAGCTTATCCAGATTTAATCCAACGTTAATCAATAGCCAGATTTATGGTGGGCGGAAAATAATGATTAAAGGCCGATTCTTGAAGGCTCTCGTTTAAGATTTTTCATTTGTAATCGGTACACCTGCTCCAAGTGTTCGTGGCCATATCGCATATTTAATCTCTTTTTGAGTTGCTCAAAATCATCTGTCTCTTCCATGGGTATAGTCTGAAGGACATCTACAGCGTCTCGTCGATGAGCGATGGTCAAATTTACTGCTTTCTCTGGTTCAGACTTTATTTCAACGTCATTGGTCTTTTCTGTATGTTCCAGTTCTTCTATCTTCTTTTCCATCTCTTTTATTTTCTCCTCGACGGAAGGCATTATTTTCTTCTCAACGGAAGTCATCTTATTTTCCACATAAGCAGAAATTTCATTTTTCAGAAAAGATATTTTGTTTTCCAAGTCTGAAGAAATTTCGGTATTTAAAAAAGATATGTCAGAACACACTTTTTCTTGTAAGAAAGAAACTTTACTGTCTAAGGAAGTAATGTCAGAAGAAACTTTAGTTTCTAAGGAGGAAATATCATTTTTAATACAGGAAACATCAGAAGAAATATCGAAATTTTTGCATTAATAATGTCATTTTAATCTTCGTTTAGTAATTTAAACTTCGTTTAACACATTGATGAAATGGGCCCTAATAAATTCTAAATATCATTAAAGAATTATTACAAAGTACCAAAAATTTATTTATGATTTCTGGGCTTTGATATGTAACTCATACCATTAATGTATTGATATTTATTTTCTATTACTTGACATATAATTAATGTAGGTTTTTGCTTAAATTGAGTTAGGCAAAGCTTAAACTGATGATACTTTAGACTTAGTTTTACTATTACTTAGTAACACTTAATATATTTGCGTTGTGTGATAATTAATTTTATTGACATTTAAAGTTAAGCTTCACCTAGAAGCTAGAACTGTATAAGTAGTGAAAATCTTATTTATTGCTTGTCTTCTCTGCTGATGTAAACTATGAGAAGATCAGATAAAAATTTTGATTAGATATTTGTTATTCTTTTTTAATGTTAGTACAGGAATGTATTTAATTAAACTGAAGAGACCATATGATACAGAGTATGGTGGATGGTAACACTATTAAACTACAATATGTATATTAAATATACAGATCTACGTACAGTCGCCGCAACCCAAATGTGAACGCTCTTTTTAAATTTAATTTGAATGTCATAAATTTTTCCATTCACATTTCGTCAACTGTACATTGTAATTAAAAGATATTTAAAAAACATTTTTTTAACATTTTATAAATTACATTTATCATCATTAAACTTTCCTCGATAATAAAGAGTTATTTTACGGACAATGAAATAATGACTATAAGACACGAACTGTATGGTACACTATTTTCAGATTATTTCTTCTATCTGTGTAGATGTAACTTTTATTACTTCTTCTTAAAAGACATTTTTACCCTTTCTTCTTTTTCTTCTTATATATTCTTTAAAATACAGTAGTTACTTTCTAATGTTTTTATTTTAATTGCAGACCTCCTAAAACAACGTTACAAAAAAGTCTATTTAACATCAATACTACATTCTCAAATATATTATCCCCATAAACATATCTAAACTATTTCAGATTCCTGTTCTTTATTATGTCTTATGTACGTTGTACCTATATGATTTTGTCTGTGTTTGTTTTTTTTGTGATGAACTAAAAAACATGATCATTCAATGAGAATTTGGAAAATTTTATGGGAAATAAAACCCTTTAAATGATTTAACAACCTGTTTAAATCATTACGAAATACCTTGTATATTAATCTAAAAAACCTTTGTTCAATTAGCTTCGTAGTAAATTTTAGAATTTTAAAAAGCTTTTTCATGTAATTAATAAAACTCACCCTTGCTTCAAAAGTGACTCAACTCAAAATTCATATATTTTTTTTATGTAACACCATGAATGTGATTTGCAAACAACCCTACACCAATTATTATCAAATTTGTTTTAACGTATAAGCTCAGAAGAGACTCGATTAAATGGCACCTGTGTCATTTTTGAGTCTTTAATGATTACTATTCCCATTTAGTATTAACTTAAAAGTTGCGACCTTTGAGTTGTGTCACTTTTGAAGCAAGAGTGAAAAATATTCTTATTTATTAAAATCAATATCAGAAAAATGTTCATAAAGGAATAAATAATACGATTTAGTTACAATGTAAGTAATTAAAATTAATTCTGGTTGACGAAAAAAATACCACCATACTCTGTTTACACTTAACCACTTTTTACTCACTCTCAACTACCACAGAGCCGGACTCTGGTGTAGTCACCGCCCCAAATAGTGGAATAGCAGGTTTGCGGCACGTACACGCTCCAGAAACCCGCCCTCAACCCCCTACACCTCAATTGCCACCTGGACAGAATATTTGCGCCGATTGTGAGCGTTTGATTGTGTGAGTAATGTTTTTTTTCAGCTTTTCGGTAGAACCACAATGATTTCTCTATCGCGTTTGTACCACTCATCTTAAAGCAATTTCATTGGTAAAACAAGGATAGCCGCTTTCCTTGTAAATAGTTCTGCCTAATTTAAACCATCTCTTTTCATTTATTTATCAATGGGTTAAACTTTTCAAAGCATAATCTAAACAATCTACAATTCCTTGGTTTTTATCCCCACCCTTAATTTTGGACCATCATAATATATTGGTGAAAAACTAATTATAGCGAAGTTAAGTGAAGTAGTACTGATACAACTAATGAAAAGGCTGAATTTAATAAAAATGCAATCAGACTTTGCGAGTAGAAGAGGAGCCACTTGAGCCAAATTTTTCTACTTTCCCCAAGATCTGGGGAAATTTGTAGATATGACAACGTCGCAATACATAGAGTAGATGGTAAGTATTTTTACATTCCCCCAGACATTGAGCGATTTTGTAGCCAGAAAAGTCCGTTGACACATGTCCAGCCGCCATCTTGATCTGCTTGTGTTGCTCTTATCTGTCTCTCGATTCAATCGTCGTGTAATAATGCGACGCTGCCTATTTTATGTTGGTTTTCTGGCTACAAAATCGCTCGATGTCTGGGGAAATGTAAAAATACCATCTACTCCATGTATTGCGACTTTGCCATATTTACAAATCTCCCCAGATCTGGGGAAAAATTTAAAAATTCAGCTCAAGTGGCTAAATATTAGCAGAAGGGAAAAAGTTAAATTATTTATTCTGCCTTTTCAGATATAATCACATAACAATCTCCAAAATTATAGATAGTTTGGATACCTCTGCCTATTAAACAATAAAAATACTTAAAAATGCAGTGATAATTTAAAAAAAAAATGATAAATGTCTAATTTCTAGTTTTGAAGTATTTGTTTCAAATAAAAGTAAATGGGAACATAAAGATGCAACGGGAAACGCTATCGAGAAATATATTGTGGTTTTATTGCTGGTTTGGAGATGGCTTTCAAAGAGGACACAGGAGAGGAATTTTTATATATTTTTTTAAATTAAGCCTTTGGTGAATCAATTTTTGGAAGTAAAGATAGTGAAAATCTAATATAAAAAGTATACTAGTATAAATATTTCTATAAATGTGATATTAATGTTAACAAATTATTCTTTTTAGATGACTGCAACATATTTTATTTGAATATAAGGATATATAAATTCTGTAGGAACGTATATTATAAAGAAAAAATAATTGTGTCAGATTTTTAAAATGTTGTAACCAGATAGTTTATGTTGCTGATAGTACCTCTACATCCAAGAATAATGGAATAATTTTATATACCTATATTATTTTTAACCCTCAATGTTAACGAAGACATAACTCTCTAAATAGTGTAGGTACTTATAATAAAAAATGGAGCATTTTATAGTCAAACAATATATTGAATTTTAATTAGATACTACACTATCTTCACTTGCAACATTGTTTCGATTCACCGCCAAAAGTGCTAGCAACACGATTTTTGAGAAGTGTTCTTTTTTCTCAGTTATTCGCCCCGATTACTATTCGACACATAGCCACGCGATCGGCGGTCGAAAGTCGACGACTCCGAAACCGAACTTAACCGAACAGACCCGATCGATCGCTGTCGACACATCCGAACAGGGTGTAACCCCTAAGCCTACGCCAGAGGGCGCTACGATTTGCACTGATTGCGAATGCGTCATAGTGTAAGTCAAGCAATGGTCGTGATACAGAAAGAGGGCGATAGTTGATTATATTAAAAAAAATCCACTTAATTTATGTCTTGTAGCTTTTAGTCCTTTAGAGCATTTTAACAAATTTTAAACAATGTTATTGCTATTTTAGGCTATTTAACAATCTTTAATTGAATAGTTTCCATTTCATTATTTCAAAGGTCCCAAAGCAAAAGTTTCGGGCAACAGCCCTTACTCAAGTCTCAACTATAGATAGATTTAAACCAAAATTATATATTGGCTTTTGATCATTTGATATTTGAATAGCTTCTTCAGTGAGTATCAGGCACTAGGTTGAGATTCTAGTTCCATATTAGAAGGGATTTCCAAAATTTGTAAGCCTGACAGTTTTTCCAAGAACGCAATTTATTTTTTGTTGTTGTGTCTGAAGTTTTCCCTAAACGTATTAATGTTATCAGTTTATGATAAAGAAATAAATTAACTTACAAATTGGGTATTATATAAATATATGAACATTTATAACAAAAAAACAAAAATTGGAAATTGCTACATAATACTCAATACTTATTGTCACTTATGTCATATCCAGTAACGAATATATCGCAATCTTTCTGTATCAATCTATTGTAGGCACTATGTGGAACCCTAGATGTCTTTTTTGTTTGTTTAGTGTCTTTTGTCGGTAGATATTTAGTGTAATAGTAGATCGTCGATGTACACCTTAGATATAATATTGTAAAATATGAAAAAATATTTTTTTCTGGCTTTTAATTTTTTGTAAATACATTATAAACTATTTATTTTAAAATAAAATTGTGTCTTTCGAATACATTTGTGCATGTCGTATTTTTAATATGGTTTAAAACCATGTTTAGTTTAAAACCTCTTTTGTGAATACTGTTCTTCCTCTAGATATGCATGTCCAAAATGTTTAATTGTTCCTCTCTGTTTTTTCGTGTCAAACTATCTTTACAAAGCATTTTGTATTATTTTCAGAAATAATTCATTTGGATTACGTTAAATAAGTCAAAATGCCTTGTAATATTATTTTATCCTAGTCTAACATTTGAAAAATATTTTTCAGTGGTGTATTCGTAAGGATAAAGGACAAAAATTTACACGTAGAGTGTTTTAAATGTTCAACGTGTGGTACATCATTGAAGAACGTTGGGTAAGTTTATTTAGAATATGGTATTCTAGTATTATTCAATACCTTAGGTTTATTATAAGTTTTAATTTGAAAAAAAATTTCATTAGTTACTATGTCCGGTATTTGTCAACAAATACCTTTTTTCACAAACTACAATTTTAGCCACTCTCTACTAGAGGGCACGACATGTTAAAAATAATTGTTTTTCTAATTTCAAACCATCAAATTTTGTGAGCTGATTTAGAAATAATTTTGTCTTGCCTTGTATATACAGGGTGTTTATTAATTGAGTGCCGAATACTTAAGGGTGTGAATCCTTAGATGGTTTTAAGAAGAAAAGTTAATATCAGCATATGTCGTAACTCACTTAATTTTTGAGCTACAGGGTGTTACAGTTTTAAGAAAAAAATTACTTTTTTATCATAATTTTTTTATCACTCTAGATATTTTTAAGAAATTTTGTACACACGTTTTAATAATTAAGGAGCATTTTTTGACGTATAAGATTTTTTTAAATTTTTACCAGTGACGTCCGTACGGGATTTGAACTGAATATTTTTGAAGAAAAAAATGGTACGCCACTGCTTTTTCTGAAAACCAAAATTATTTTTGAAATCATCATTTATTTTGGAGCAAACTTGGTTCATAGACTTACTTTCGTACGATGCACCGTTTTTGCGTAAAAAAATAAAAACCATTGTAGTGGTTGGTCAAATTTTTTCCTTAAATTCATTGATACCTACTGCTTTTGATATTTTGTTGAAATCTGGTAGGCACCCACCATGCGTGGAAACATTTTTTTGGGACAAAAATTAATTTTCTACGTTTTGAATAGAAAAAAATGGTAAGCGCATTATTGCCCTCTTAAAGCAAATGAAATAAACATTAGTAGGCTGGGTAAAGCGTCACCATTTTTGACGTTTCTTTTCATAAAGACAATAAAGTTGACATTGATTTTACATTATTAAATAATTATTATTAGAGTAAGAGTTAAAATCTGAAAAAAAAATGGTAAATTTTACGAACAGTGAATTAGCTGACATGCATTTTAGTTATGGGCTTGCAGACGGAAATGCATACGAAGCCAGACGGATATACCAAGAGCGGTATCCAAATCGCGTACTACCCGATCCGAGAACATTTTCTAGGATTCATAGACGTCTTCACGAGACCGGAACTTTAAAAGTAGACCGCACAGGGCTAAAGGAGTCCATCAAACAGTAAGAACACCGGAACTTGAAGAAGGAATTTTACATGAAATTGAGGAGAACCCCGAAACTAGCACGAGGAGAATCGCGTCAACATTTAATGTTTCACATGTACTTGTTTGGAAAATTCTCATCGAAAATTTGTTATACCCATATCACATTCAAAGAGTCCAGGCATTACTCCTTAGAGATTTCCCGTTGCGCATTAATTTCTGTGAGTGGTTTCTTCAAAACCTGCTGGAAAATCCATTATTTGACAGGCACATTCTTTTTACCGATGAAGCTAATTTTTCTCGAAACTCAATAATAAATTTCCATAATAACCATTTATGGGCGGATGAAAACCCTTATGCAATTGTTGAGTCAAATCATCAAGAACAGTTCTCATTAAATGTTTGGGCTGGGATTATTGATGATTATTTGATAGGCCCATTTTTTCTCCCAAGAAGACTTGATGGACAATCATATTTACACTTCCTTGAGGATGATCTGCCGCCAATGCTTGAAGACCTTCCTCTTTTATTAAGAAACCAGATGTGGCTAATGCACGATGGTGCGCCTCCACATTTTAGCTTACGAGTGCGTGAATTTTTAAATCACACCTATCGCAATCGGTGGATAGGTCGCGGAGGAACGCAGTCATGGCCGCCTAGATCTCCCGACCTTAATAGTTTAGACTTCTTTTTCTGGGGGCATCTGAAAAGCTTAGTGTACGCAGTGCCGATTCAAACCGAAGAAGAGTTACGAAATCGTATAACAGTCTGCTGCCAAACCATAAGAAACACCCCAGGAATCTTTGAAAATGTGCGTCAGTCTATGCGAAGAAGAGTAGATGCTTGCATACGTGTGGGTGGAGGACACTTCCAACAATTACTGTAAATAATTTGGGTTCTTTATTTTGTTTGTATTCTCTTGTAATTTCGTTTTAGATTCAATATTGTGAATTTTCATTTTACTATAAATAAATCCCGATTTTTAAAATACATAGTATTTAAAAAAATCAGAGGAGTACGTTTTTTTTCTATCCAATATGATGCCTACGTGGCCGTCACTGGTGGAAGTAGAAAATTAATTTTTGCCCCAAAATAAGTGTTTTCACGTATGGTGGGTGCCTACCAAATTTCAACAAAAAATCAAAAGCAGCTTAAGAAAAAAAAATTTTGGTTTTTATTTTTTTACGCTAACACAGTGCATCGTACGAAAGCAAGTCTATGGGCCAAATTTGCTCAAAAATAAATGAATATTTCAAAAATAATTTTGGATTTTAGAAAAAGCAGTGGCGTATCATTTTTTTCTTCAAAAATATTCAGTTCAAACCCCGTACGGAAGTCACTGGTAAAAATTTAAAAAATCTTATACGTCAAAAAATGCTCCTTAATGATTAAAAGGTGTTTACAAAATTTCATAGAAATATCTGCAGTGATAAGAAAATTATGAAAAAAAATATATTTTTTTCTTAAAACTGTAACACCCTGTAGCTCAAAAATTAAGAGATTTACGACATATGTTGATATTAACTTTTCTTCTTAAAATCACCCAAGGATTCACACCCTTAAGTATCGGCACTCAATTAATAAACACCCTGTATATTTATGTATGTATAAAAATGTATTCAGTTAATTTGTTTAATGTTGACTCATCAAACCCTTATATGTATTTTAAAATTAATTGTTTTTATATCGCGACGTTTTTTAAATTATTTTAACCCTGACAAAAAACAGTTAATTTTTCGTCTGTCATTTGCAATTTACTTCAAAAAAAGGATTTTCGTGACTTTTGACCTTGAATATCTTAACTCGCGGACACGAGATTGTATGATACTTTTTGACAAGTATTAAACAAAGGTTAACAATTATTAACATCCTAATTTTCATTCTGAAGTCGGATACCAATTTAAATGGAGAATTTGCCATTTAAAAATGAAACCTAAAAATATATACTTGCTATTATTATTGTGTTCCTTTCAGATACTATAACATCGGCAACAAACTATACTGCGATATCCATGCTAAGGCAGCTGCTCTTAAGCACCAAGCTAATCCAAATTTGGTACCAGTAACTGTTCCTCCGTAAGTTTTTAGTGACGAAATGAGAATATGATGGTTAAATTCAAAATGGTGTCAATATGTTTTTCTATCATTTTTTTTTTCAGAGGAGGCAAAGCACCGGTTCATGCAATCTCATCAGCCCTTTCAAGCCATTCTTATCCAACTTCATCTCCACTATCACCCAAATCGAACTTTGGTGGTACACCATATCAGGTAAATAACGAAATGTGTAAAATTTTAAATAATATTAATAATAGAAACAAAGTTTTTATTAATTCAGACAAATGCATGTAATAGCCAAACATACACTTTTTTTAGAAATAGGTATAACAATACTTCGAAACATTTTTTGTATTATTTTTGGTCGTAATAAATATGTAGCAGAATAAAAAATATTTAAAATTCCAAATTTAATAAATCACCATTCTGAAAATATTAATATAATAAAGGATCATGATTCAAATTGATTATAAATGTTCTAATTTACAAACAGTGTGGGCAAATACAAGGTATTTGCCTTCTGTGACAATTGGAAAAATCATGTTGTTTAATACTAGTTTTTTTTTGTGAATTGTTTAATTGTTTTTGTTCGTTAATTGCTTGTTTTTGAACCAGCTGTTCACTTTCTTTAGAGCTGTTTAAATGGGGGTACATTGTTTACATTCCCTTCAAAACTGCCTTTTCGGCTACTAGGAAACATTCCTATTGTCTACCACGCAACAATGTTCTGCTACAACACAAAATAATAGAATTGTCACAAATTACCTGGATATGAGATTTTCCATTAATTGGATTGGAAACATGGAGTCTATAAGGTGGCTGATGCCTTCACCTGATTTGACCTCTATAGATTTTTAATTTTCCCATTAGATTTGAATGATTTTAAAAATAAAATAAGACGAGCATGATACGAAACAAAAGATAGTGTAACCCCAAATATATCAGAAATAGTTAGAGATAGGTATATGATATTATAACATAAAAAGTGTGTATCATAAACCATAGAATTCAGAAATGTTGAAATATTTGAAGTGTCCCATTTGAAATAACACAATTCATGATCACTTCCAAATAAGTAAAAGTTCTTGATATTCAAACATACGTGTATGAAGTAGCCCACATCCCATCTAAATTTAATTTTATTCTGATAATTATTAAGTATAACAGATAATAATAAAAATTTAGAGCAACAACTGTCTCTGTATCTGTATCTGTAACGTGTGGAGGGTGGATTACACCCACGGCACTTAGGCCTCATTAGGCCCATTGTGCATCCCCCTAAGATGATAGGCATCTTCTAGCTCGTGAGCCAGCCTACAGATTTAATGTTGTTGACAACGTCGCCAAGAGGTGCTTCTCTTATATGGGCCGGTGTTAGCCGATACTTGCCGAACACAAATCTTCTAAAAAATGAGAGCGTCGAGAAATCGTAAAGGATATGCTCAATGGTCTTATTTTTTTGTTCGCACCCTCTGCAGAGTGGAGATTCTGACAGCCCCATGATATGGTGATGCTTCCGTACTTGGCAATGACCAGTCAGAATGCCTGTGACTAGGCGCAGATTATATCTAGTCATAGTCAAGTATTTGTTTGCTGCAGTGTTGTCAGGATAACTTAAGAGCTCCATGACAACTCTGCAGTTTCTTGTTTCATCCCATCTTTCCTTGAATTTCACAAGGGAATGTTCTTTAATTAGGTCTGTCATTACCGATTTTGTCAGGCCAATAGAAAGGCCAGGTCCAAAAAGTATTTGGTTTGCTGGTTTCTTGGCTAGAAAATCAGCATCTTAAGGTTACCACATTGTTGATGGATACTTCGGCCAAAGCTTCGTGACATTCTAATACTAACCCTGAATAAATTCGTGGTCTGTTCAGGGTAAGTAGTGCATAGATAAACATGTTCCTTCCAGTGATATTGTTTCTGGTTATTTCTTTTGCTGCTATGATAATCCCCGTTAGCTCTGTTTAAACTACACTGGTACTATTGCTCACAGCCCATTTTATGTTTAGGTTTAAAATTCTGAAGTATATTCCACATCCTGAGCCTTGTTTTGTTTTAGAACCGTCGCTGTAGATATGAATCGTACCTGCCACTTTCGGCTATTTGTTCTATTATAACTTTATATGGCACTGGCAGCGTATTGAGCGCCTCATACCAAAAGTGACGTCTCGCCTCACCAGATCTCACTTCAGGTTCTATTCCAACCGTGCGGAGACGTGTCATTGTCGTCAAAGCAACCTCCTTGATGTAAATGCAAGGGGAGTGAGACTAAGAATGACTTCCATGGCTCTGGCCGGTATTGTTTTAATGGCTCCTGTTATATTGAGACATGCTGTTCTTTTAATTTGTTCTAGTTTATGGATAGCTGTTAATTTTTGGTTTTTCGGTACCCAGACAACTGCACCGTATGTTAGCATAGGTCTTATGATAGCTGTGTAAGTCCATGTGATGACTCTGGGGGAGAAGTTCCATGTTAACTTGTTGTCAAAGGTGAGACCTAGGTACTTCACCTCTGTTGCAAAGTTTAGTTTTGTGTTTAGGAGTTCTGGAGGTTTTAATTCCATTTTCATCCTTTTCTTTGTGAAAAGGACCATTACTGTCTGGGACTATAGAAATACTAGATTGAAAACTATATTGCGCGATTACATCAAGTCTGACATTTGTCTAAATTAAATAACTTTGTTTTTACTAAAAGCATCTATTGCATTATTTTCCTGTTAACTGCACTCTGTTACGTTTGCATGATATAAAAGTAGAATTGCATTGGCATATCAAGGAGATAAAGAACAACCTAATTAGATCAATAGCACAAAATGCACAGTTAAAATGTTTCAATTATGTCGCCTCTCCAGAGATATCTTCTGGATATGCCTATGAGATCATAACTTCTTTGGATAATTTTAGGCTGAGGAATCTAAAGAGAATGTGAATGTTGATGTAGCATCTTCGTTGCCAATTTTAGCAAAATCTAACGATATCGAACCTAACACTAGTAATAATACTTTATATAGTAGTTCTACGCCTCTGTCATTCAGCAAATATTTGAATAAGGTGAGTTTCTATTCTAACTCAGCATCATACACTTTAACTTTAACAAAAGTACGTTTTATATTTGCATTGATATAATAATTATTTATCAAATATAATAATGATCGATCTTCATCTTCATCTTCATTATCTCTACTAATCCTGGGCCTCCCATGACTGGCTTAGATACTCTTTTTGAACCCTCAGGCCAAACTATTACTTTAAATACATTGGTCTGTCATCTAATCCACATGATTGTCTTTCTTGAGGCCTTAGCACATACCATACCTTTAAAAGATGAGCTACTTAACAGTGTAGTGTTAAGTGTGTGGGTACGGAGCAATAGCCGCAACGAAATGAACTGTCACAGTTGGAGAAGTGCACGTGGAGAAGTGAGTTTGAGATGCCATTCAAGAAAACGGGGGTCTTGTAATAATTTGTAATGTGTAAATGTTCAAGGTGAAATAAATGTTGAAGTATGCACTGTAGTTTAAATACACAATAAGCAGTGGTGCCGCTTTAATGATGTAAGGCATCTCCCTTCCATACTACTTACCTTAATTATAGTCTTTTCGTTTTTTCAAATGTTATAAATTTTATTTTAATAGAAAAGCAACATATAAAACGTACTTTTATGAACATTTAATATACATTTTAGAAAAAATTACTTCTGTTGCTAACTTCAAGAAAATACACAACATCCTTAGGTATTCAGAACGTATATTTAAATATTTACTTGCTTGTAAATTCTTACAAATATGATCTTCAATGTTAATGCTAAGCTAAGAAAAAGCAGAGTTAGACGACATCGAAAACTATGATTAATAAATGAGGTTATGTTTCCTCAAATTATATTCGTTAATATTTTTCTGAGACACATTTATAATATGGATATAAAAACATTTATTAAACAATGTCAGCTTACTGATATTTTTAAATATCAGTAATTAAATAACACTCTGAAAAATATCACCCAACTTTATCAGACATTTTTAAAGTTTACCCATTTGTAACTTACAGGTACGTTTAGTGATCATTTATGAATTAGATGGCAAATATATTGGTTTGTTACATTATGGTAAAATAATAAATTATTACTTATCTACTCCTTTTATGTCTACCACCTGGGTATTTTCTAGAAATTGGCAACTAAATTAGGCATGAACTTTTATTCTCTCATCTATTTACTTGCATTTTTCAGCAGTAGTTCATAGGTATATTAATCTTTCAAATAACACTGGATGAAGATTTAATTTGTGTAATAATTATAACATCAAAACATATTATTTATTGCATGTATAAAATGAAACGTGAACTAAATATGAACAAAAATATATATAAAACAACTGCAGATTCAATATTACTTATTGGACATACTTTCCATTTTTGAAAGCTGTTCAAGCATTTTTTCGTATTAATTCAGCTAGAAAGCATTCTATTTGAATTTGTTTTTTTTTAAGATTATTGTAATAAATTAACTTAATGATTGAAATTTTGAGACACCAAGAAATTTCTTCATATTAAAGATGATAACAATTATTTGTAGGTACTAATAAGGTCCTAATAATGACAATAACTAATAGATTAATCTCTAATATTCTAAGAGAAAATATATTTTTTTTTTTATTAAAAAAGCGTGTTGGATAACGTCAAATGCGGGGGTTTTTCTTTTAATAAAACCACTTTACTTTTACCAAACGAATTTTGCAGCATTTTGACATTTTAAAAATGTTACTAACTGTTGGAATCCCCAGGAGAGAACCAATTGAGTTCTTCTCTTGAGAATACCAACGTATCTATAGTATAAATAATTTTTAATTGATCAAATATTATTTTTTTAATAGTCATCGAGCTTTTCTGGTCCCAAACCATTCTCAAATGTGAGTGCTCCACTTTCTTCGCACAACACATTACCAAGAGCAGCTCCGTTGTCTCCGGTAGCACCAGCGCAATCTTTTAACCATTCTTATACTCCTTCTGCGTACAGCCCATCATCAGGTATGTAGAAATTATTGTAATACAATACTTTTATTTTAATTTTATTAAATTTTTGTATGACACTAGCTGGTATTTTTTCCCCAACATTTTTTTAGTAAATTAGCTAGGTACTAATACATAAAAAATTACTTCAAATGATCTTGACTTGATACAAGTTAATGAGCTTATTCGTAAAAATTTGGTAGTTGTCCTTGTAGAAAACTTACAAATTATACAAATTATACTTATTATACTATTTACACAGTAGTTTGTGGCGGCTCGTGATAATACGAGATAGTAGTGCCAGATTTTTAACAAATGTGAAAACCCCGCCGGAGGCGCCCTGTCGGAGGCCCCCCCACCGGAGGCGAAAAATTTTTTGGGGTGCCACTCCCAAATTTTTACCCAAAAGTCGTTTAAAAAACTGGCTTTGGGCAAAAATTTATCACGGTATTGTCAAAATAGATATAAAATTTTAAATAAAAAAATAAATAAAGGACGGTTACTTTTATCTCTATTATATGACTACTATTTATGGGATTTCTAACACAAGTTTTGCCAAGAAACAGGCCGTCAGGGTTAGTCTTATCCTAAACTTTGCTAATAAATTACTCAAAACTTATCACAGAAGTCTGTAAAATTAATTAAAAATTATAAATTAACTTACCCCCAGTAATTAGTGCTGAAAGTTCTTGCAGTTTGTTATTACCATAAAGAGTCTTTAGGTCCATATTCCAAAAAAATCAGAAAAATAAAACTATACCTATTTACAGTATTTACACACGTGCACAAATTTGCTTGATATACTAGTTTTAAAGTTTCCGATAAATGAAGTCCATTCTTCTTTCTTTTTTGGTTGCAAAGTTTTCAATTACTTTATTATTAAAATTTTTAATTCCATTTAGAAAATATTTTTCTGCGGACAACATACCTAAAGCACTAAGTGTTTCTTCCTTCATTGTATTTCTGAGGAATGTCTGAATCCGTTTATGCATTAAAAAACAGCACTCCGCTTCAGATTTTGACATATATATTGTTATCGAAATACCTAAAAGTTTAAGAGTTTCTTGAAATGTACAATTTAAACCTTCCTCATTTAATAAAATTGACAACGGGACAGCTCCGGAGGTGATACTTAATTTCTCTCTGATACAGTACTTGTAATTCATTTTTAAGCATATTTTTGTCTAAAAATGAAAATTGTATACATGTTTCATTGAGGAATGATTCGGGAAACTGATGCCTATAGACCGAAAATTTCTCCAACATAAATAAATTAGACGCGACCAAATGTCCAGAGAAGTTGTACCTTGTTTTTATTTGCAATAAAACGGAATCGCATATTTCTAAGACTTTTCTGTGTTCTTCAATTCGTGCCTTTTTCCTTATTGGTTCACCAGTTTCTCCTTGCAACGTGTTTATTTCTCCTTAAATATTGTCAATAATGCTGTCCATTTGCTCGCATATACCTTGAATTGCTGCTTCGAAATTCTCCAAATCTTTCTTGACCTTAACAGAATCTGAGCATACTTTTTGTAATTGATTAAAAATAATTTCCACGTGAAAAATACTTAACCAAAATATAAAATTTTTATCCTGAAGTTTTAATTTGTACCCACTTGCTTGATTAATAGACGACAAATCGAATGAAGTACTTTCTATAATGTCCACAACTGTAATGAGGTCTTTTCTATTCTCATAAACAGTATGAACACCTCGCGATTGAAAATTCCAACGTATTTGGGAATATCTTGGCAACCTGCGATTGACTACCTCATCCAAAATTGTTGTTCCTTGAAGACACGTGGAAAAGAAAGAGCATGTAAAATCTCCAAAATCTCTCAACTGGTCGTCTTTTACACAAATATCTGAAAACTATAACTAATTGAAATTCACAAGCAACGTCCGTCGTTTCATCGGCAGTCACTGCAACAAAAGGAGAATTTTCTATTTCTTTCCTAACTTCTTTGTGATAAACATCTAACATGCACTCAAGAAATTCATTTTGGGTTGTTTTTGAGGTACCTTTGAAAGCTTTTGAACTTTGAATATGAACCTTTAAGTCGTTGTCTAATTCGGCGCTAAAATTCACCAGCTCCTTAAATATGCCTCTATTTTCCGAATTATCTTTTTTATCGTGACCCTTTAAAGCTAACTCAAAACCTCCACAAAACCTCATACAATTTATAATTTGATTTAAAACATATCGATTCTTATCCACTTGTTGAATATGTTTATTTAGAGCATTACGATAAGCCGAATTTAACTGGGTTTTTATACTTAACTTACCAAGCATGGAAAAGCCAAAACCATTATTTTTCACTTTAGATTTTTCAAGGATTTCATTTTATCCCATATATAGACAAGATCGTAGGTGCCTTTTTTTGACCAAGTCTCGTCACCTCCATACAAAACACATACAAAACAAAACAGTTTATTAGTTTCTTCGCAACCACACAACCAATTATTTTTATCATAAATAGTTTTATTAAATTTACGACACAACGATTTTTGCCCACTTCCACTTTCCTTTTCAATTTTTAACTCGGGAATTGGCCGGCCTAATTCTTTAATTTGTAGTATTTCTTCTAGCAAAAAACCACTAAAAGAGTTGCAAAAAACCACTAAAAGAGTTTTTTTAAGATGCCAATTTTATTCATTGTCACAATAAATTAAAAACTAGGAAATAAGATATTTAAACAAGTTTATCGAAAACAGAAAGACACATAGGTATTAAAGTCACTAACACTTCATAACGTAACGAAAAACTTAAAACCGCGTGAAGAAATTCGGTTAATTCAGTCAACAATCGACATTATCGAGAAACCGCGATTATCTGAACCGCTATGGGCACTGCCTGGCACGAAAATTCCTTGATTTTACTATTTAAATACATGTAAAATGTCCCCATCTCTGTTGCTCACATCAGCTGCTGGTAAAGTCTCTCTCTCTCTCTCTCTCTCTCCCCTAGTGCCAGCTGATAAATGGCTCCGGTTGCGCCACGAGCTTGGAGATTTATGCAGCGCGAGGTTGCCATATTTCAGATAATTTTTGAATATAAAAAGATGCATAAAATAAAATAAAAATATGATAAGACGTTTTAAAAATAAAAAATATATTTCTGCATCAAAAATAAGGTAATGCCATGGCACAGGCACTACCTCACGAGCCGCCACTGTGTGAAGAGTATTATAGTTTTACTTTGTCCGTCCGTCTGATTACATGTTTTCTTCCGCACGAAAGTCAAAAATGAAAAATGATAGCAACTTGAAAATTTTGGAAAAAAATCAAGCTCTATAATGGGACGAAAAAATGAGGAGTTAAGGGGGGTTTAAATATATTTCAAAAAAATCCTAACTCAAAAACGATAAATGATGCTAACTTGAAATTTTTAGCAAAAATGAAGCTCTATAAGAAGAAGAAGCCCTTTGATTTTGAAAATATCAGAATAAAATGGGGGCAGGTTTATTGGAGGCTGAAATTAAAAAAAATGTATAAAAATTAAAAAAAAATCAACATAAATTTTTTTATTAAAAATCACGATCTATAAAGAAATGAAATATTGATTCGGAAAAAATCTTATTGAAAATGGAGATTAAGGGGATATATTTTTTTAAATAGTACACCTTGTGTATTTTTCAGTTTTTCGTATACCAAATGGTTGACAATGATTTTTTCAAGGAATACCTGGAATAGCTCATTAAATTAGGTTTAAATACAAAACATTTCACTCACAATAAGTATCATACTGTTCGTATTTTTCTTTAGAGATATTTTTACATTATAAATAGCGTTAAAATACGTTTTTAATTAAAAAAAATTATCTACTTATTGCTGGTATTATATTTAACACTATTACTTAGCCTTAAAAAATTTGCTTGACAATCCTGTAATATTTTTTAAAACTATTTTATGGTTGCATACAGTACTACAGGTCATTCTAAAACTAAAATAAAATAAAAAGCGAAATACCTACTCTGTATAAAGTATCTCTTTTTAAAATCTGTATAACTTTTATTTGAAACCATTTTGCGTGTTTGTAACATCAGTTAAGATGTAGAGGAATTACGATCTATTGGGACATCCTGTATAGCAAATATTGAATTATAAAAATTTATTAATTTAAATATTATTCAATACCAATTCGACAAATCCTGATTATTGATATTGTTTCTCAGGACGTGCTCCTTCTTACAATAAACCAGCTGGAGGCGTCTTTAGAGGTACTGAAAAAAGTACTTTTAACAATCACTTTTTCATTTTTCGCTTACATCTATCACCTAGGTGTACATACTAAAATACGAGCTTTGTAGATAAAATAGTATAACTATAAACTATAAAATATCTTTCATATTTTTCAGCCCCTTCTTACAATTCAAAACCAAGACCCTTCTCCCTTGTCCTAGAATAAATTCAATTGTTAATGATTTAGCTAACGGCTTTTAAATAATGCACACTGTAGATGAATATTTATGTTTAATGAAGTACAAAATATATTCTACAAATAATAAGAATTGGAGATCGTTGGTTTTATGTTGTATAAATAAAATATAAACGCTAAAGTAGGAAAAGGCTCTTTCTAAAATTATCATGAAACAATTTTATATATTATTTCACCTAGTGTTGTATAATTACTGCATTTCTATGAATCGAAACGATTCTTTTGAGAAATAAATAAGTAAGAATTTTAGATATTAAAGATAATTATTTTAATATCTATTATTTTAACATTATTTTATGTAACTAGAACTGTCACTACTCAAAATAGTCCTCACGTGTATTCCTTTCTAAATCGACCACTTGAGCTAGCCTTTTCTCTTACTTTTTCGTTTAAATACACTGCCCTCCAAAATTAATGCACCACCTTAAATATACCACAAGTTTGAAGCTATTTTTTTTCTGTACCGTTAATTGGTTTTCGATGATTTGTTTTTATATTATAGGTCACTTTTTAAGGAATAATTTTTCAAATGTTTTAAACATATACACGGTGTAAAAAGATGTTGTTTTTCTTCTTATTTTACAACACCCTGAGGAATTTATTAGAAACATCCACTAAATACGATTAATAATGCGCCATGGCTTTATATTTTCTCAACATTTTTATATAAGAAACATCTAGATATCTTTGTTATCAAAACAGATACAAAATTTACATGTAACAAGTTTTAATTGACATTTAAAGTAAGTTTTTTAATTACGAAACTATTCAGAAAAGATAAAATTAATTAGATGTAGCGATGGTTTCTTATAAATTCAAAATAATTAATAATTCAATGTAAGAAAAAAAACTTTTTTTACACCCCGTATGTAGGTTAAACGGTGGCATTTATCAAAAAACTTCGATACCTTAGAAACTAACTTATGAACCGAAACATGGATAATCAAAATCCAATTAAAGGTACAGAAAAAAATAGCTTCAAACTATGGTGCTGCATTAATTTTGGAGAAACAAAAATAATTCATAAAATGCACAGACTAATTAGTTTTATCTTCATTTTATAGCATTTAATTACCTACTTTTTAAATGAAATGTTTACTTCATGTATATTATTTGTAATTAAATTTGTAGCACTTTTTATATTGGATTAATTAAAATAATAACAATCCTTTCCAAATAGTCCCACTTTAACAACTCCTACCAAATTCTAAAACTTCAAATTGAGTTATACTATTTTATAATAGGTACTTAATATTAAAAATCTTCATCAAAATAGCTTACAAACTAATAATACTTTTATTCCTTCTTTTTTCTTATTAACCCTTCGTTTTTGACCTCATATCTTGTGATGTGCTTGCTTAAAAACTAGTCCAGGTTGCTGAAAATATTATTTGGCCTCCTCCTCAATTTGAACCCGAAGTTCCAACCGCTTGTCCGTTGTTTTATCCCCCACCGTCCCAAATAGAACAGAAGATAATCAGCAAACGGAAAGAAAAAGAAGAACAGCATACAGAAGACGAAGAGGACTGTTTGGAAATAAAAGAAATCAATGGTATGTCTCGCTTTTTACCAAATCCTTCATGGGAATTCTCTAGTGGAAGGAGAAGTGCCGAACAAGTAAAAGGCAGTTTGTCAGAAACAATCGATAATCAAATATTAGTAGAAAATATTGTTAAAACTAGAATACCCCCACCTGTACCTCCTATCGAGAGAGATATTTCAATATACCAAAACCTTGAACAAAGGCCTACAATTCCAGATACAGAAAAATCTTGCCCATTTTCAATACCAGATGATATATGCTGCAAAAGAAAAAATAGTTGTGACTTAAACAAATCGTCAGGACAAAATTCATCAAACGTAGCGGTAAGTCCAAATTTACCAGTTCCTCGAAAGTGGGAATCACCTCTTACACAGGCTATTAGAACCACTTCTCCCGATAAAGATACTTTTGCTTGCATTCCTACAAAACACTCATCGAGCGCCATGGCGACAGCATTATCTGTAGCACCTTTAGAACCTTTTAAACCGGCTTCAACAAACGAAGAACCCGTTCCTCTACCAGAGGAAACCGAGCCATATTTCCCACCAGAAAGACCTGTTTTAGCAGAAAAAAATACCAATACTCCGGTACCACCTATTAGAAAGAAGTATGGGCCTTCTGATAAACTACTTGAAGATCTTCCTAAGCCTGAGGGAAAATTATGTATGTTGGATGCACTTACAACTGCTTCTGAAAGACCATATTCTCCATTTATTGAACCTCTTCCTCAAGAAGAGAAAGTGGAAAAAAATAAGAAATATAATTTTTATAATCCTCTAAAACCTGATGTATTGCCAGCATCTTTTGATACACATAAAAAAGCAGCTGTACCGCCAGGTTACTATCCTCCTTCAGTTCTCTACGAAAGAACCGAAGAAAGTAAAAGTGAAGAAAAGTTGGAAGAAAGTAGTATGACACATACTAAAACTGTAGAAAGACAAACAGTACAAAATCCTGAAATTCAAGTAATTTTAGATCAAAACCAAAACCAAGCGGCACAGCAGTTAGCTCCACTATTTCATGGCTTTTCTTGTTCATTTCAAAACAAAGGGGATATTTCGCAATTTTCTGTTGACGTTAGAACTACACCTCCTATAATGTCTCCACCACCTGTTATCCCAACAGTTAAAAGTATTGAAAAACCAGGATATATTCAAACAGAAATTATAACAGAAGCTAAAAGTGAGAAGCAACAAACCAAAAGAAAAGAGGAAGAAAAGAAAACAGTTCAAAAAAAAGAACAAGTTACATTAAAACCGGCAGTAAAACAAGCAGAGACAGTGGTTCCAATCAAAGCAGTGCCCCAAGTATCTTTACACAAACCAACGCAATTACCTCAGTACCAGGTTGAACTATCAGCTGAAGCAGAATCAGAGTTAATTTTATTCGAGAAAAAAAGGCAAGCTGAATTAAGAATAGAACAACAAAGGCAAGAAAATAAAGTGCATGCTTCTCATATTACTCAGCATACTCCTTCTTATGAAAAAGTTAAACTTCCTGCTATTAAAGTGGAAGTAGAAGATGATAGGACATTCAAACCTGTATCAGAAGAACGTCCACCAAGTCATTCTTTCTCTCCAAGGCCAGGTTCTAGCACACCTAGTAGAATTGGTAATAAACCTCCTCCAATATTGCCCTACTATCAAGCTAATCTAGTTCCGCAATATATGTCAGCCACTCACAGCAACGTATTTGATCCTAAAAGTCCTGCTGTATCAAGATCGCCAAGTCCTTGCCCAGAACGTAGTACTTCACCTGGAGTAAAAAGTAATGTTAGATCTGTTTCTCCAGCTCCCGGGCCACCAGAGAATCCTCTAAAATCTTCTAAACCTTTACCGAATCCTGAAAGCATTAGAGTTGATCAAGCTCGAGAAAGTTTAAAAGGTTACTTACCAGATTATAAGACACAGAGAGATTATATTGAAGAAATTCAAGGAATGGATTTCCAAAATAGGGCTTCAGATGAAAATTCACAGATCTACACGTCTGTAGTTCAAACCCAGAACTACCCAACCTATCCGATACAAGAACAAACAATTGCTTTACAGCGATCCGATTTCTTGGAAGCTCAAAGATCTGAAAAGAGTATTGCGCACCAAGGTGATACCTATATATCAACATCCAGGGAAGAACAAATGAAGCAAGCTCACTTAGAACAACTTAAAAAGTCTCAAAGTCACTCAATAGAACAATCAGCAGATGGTTTAAAACAGATACAAAGGAAGAGGACGGTTACTGAAGAATATGAACGAACTCAAAAGGAAGTTAATATTCAAATTGAAAAAAATGTGAGCAGCACTAGGAAATACCCATTTTCTGGTAGCGTAAATGCACCTTCTGTAGAAGTTTCAAATGTTAGGGGACATATGACAGATCCCCAAAGAATGTCGTCTTCTTTCTTAAAATCTGGATGTTCGCAGATAGAAGGTTGCCTTAAACAGCGAATGCAAACTCAACCAACTGCCAGTTTAGCACAACCAGCTACCTTAGCTCAATCAGCTGTTTCAGCTCAATCTGCACCCGCTGCTTTCGCTTCAAACAAGCATGGCTCAGCAATAAGCTCTGTAAAATCAGTTATTCCCCCTGGAACTCCTAAAAAACCTAATGTTTCCTCTGTTTCTACCCAACCTGATACAGGTGCTACAAGTGGACGTCAATCTGGAGGTGTTAAGGTTGCTCCTAGGCGCGGGCGCGGTATTTTAAATCCTGCTGCCATTGGAGGAGCTAGAATTCCTCTATGTGGTAACTGCAACTCGCAAGTCAGGTAGTCATAATCTGTCTGTTTTGTGGTTTTGTTGTTGTTTTTTTTTGTATGTCTTTTATAATGAAAACTGTTGTTATTTTGTTTACATTTATTAACGTATTAACTGTTATATTGGATAATAAAGTGGCATGTACTAATAAAACGAAACCACTACTAAAAGTGACCCACGATATGCGCCAATTTTTTTAAAAATATTAATTGTGGATCTTTCTATTTAATATTTCGATGGTTAGAGCATAAATGTTGTATGTCCAAAAGTGTTGTTTTAAGTAAAATCGATTTGAAAGATGGAGATAACTATGACGAGCTATCCTATCCTATTCCATTTTCGACAAAATGGACACACAATATTTGTGCTCTTAACCATCGATTTTTTTAACTGTTTCATTTTGTATTTGTTTTTTATTTTTATTTTTTTTTATTCATTTTAGCTTACTTTTTATTTTTTGTTGTTTTTATTTATTTTAGAGCATGTTAGTGAGTTATGTCATGCTAAGGAAAGCGAAAACCTTCTAGAACTGGACGAAATTAGTATGCAAATTCCGAATCAGCCTCCACCACCTCCACCTGTCCCAGTATACAGTCAAATAAATGTTTCCATTCCTTATCAAAGTGTTTCACCACAATTAGATTCTATAGGGTCCAGTCCAAGATCAGATTATTCTTCCTACTCGTCATCTAGTGGCAAAAATACTCATATTACTGAATCTACTAGAGAATCTAGAGAAAAAATAGTAACAGAGATAAAAAATTTAACTCCCAAACTAAAGAGTGTTCATCTATCCGATACCCAAAGTCCTAAAATGAATTACGTCGTTAGTAACGTAGAAACCACCATAAATAACAACAATAAGAAGGTAACTTCAGAACTATTTATTCCCATAAATTATTCACATTCTTCTGAAAAGCTTGACTTACCGGATCATCTAACTTTCTCCAATACAGATGAACACTTGCATTATTCGAACAAATCCGATCACCTAAATAAACTAAATTATTACTCCAATAGAACTGACCCAGATCCGATATTCTTCTCTAATAAAACTGATAATCTGACCTCAAGGAAGGTGGCCGATGGAAACGGAATTAGCAAAATTACAATTAGTAGCAGTGTTACAACAGACGCGGCTGATTTTAAACCCAGTACTGCGCGTTCTGCTCCTATTTGTTGGAAATGTAACACTGAGATAGTTAGGTAAATGCTTTTTAAAAATAAAATTAAAATGGAGCTATTATTTTTCTATTATACAGGATGAACGTTAAGTATGTAGGATAACTTTAATATGATATTCTTTACTCAATTTAAACACAAAGGTTCGTATGAATGTAGAGGTTTGGAAATCATGAATAGTAACTGAAGGATATGTAAATGAAAGAAGAAAAAGAAATAGCGTATTATTAATATCCAATGCAATTAACAATATTTCTTAATCATTAAAAGTATTTAGATAATTATAAAAAAAATAAATAAAGCAGTTCGGAACCTACGTTAAAATTGATTAAGGAAGAGCATCTTAAAATTTGGCCACATATTGAACAGACACCTTGTACTTATTATAACGTAAAAGACTTTTATGTTTGGAAAATAGCTATTTGTGTATTAAGAGCTAAAAGTGCTATTTTGCCGCTTGAGATAGAAAGTTGCAATCTATCGAAAGCGGCAACGAACTTTTCGCTCAAAATGCACACAGCATTTTTTCTACGATCATAATTTTTTAAGAAATATATATAAAAACTGAAAATTTGTCGTAAGTAGGGTATAAAGTGTTGCATATATCAACGTTAATCATGAAAAACGCTGTTAATATTCAAAATTCATATTAACTTGTATAATATAACAAAAAACACGTAACTACGTACAAATAACTTGAAAATCATTTATTAAAACCAAATTATATTAAATTATAGCTAATTTTAATTAGGCGAGCAACAAAGCATTGTCACTTAATGTAAGTTCGCTGAAAACGTCAACTTTGCGGTTGGATTTCAAAGCGCAAAAGCCTACTTGGAATAGTGATCGTAGAAAAATAATATTTTCATCAATGTTTGCTAGTACTAACATTTTCGTTACTAAACCTCCTATACGATTAATATCTTATGAAATTTTCTAGGGGGCCATTCATAACAGCTCTTGGAAAAATCTGGTGCCCGAATCACTTTATTTGTTCCACTCCGTCTTGCAGAAGACCCCTTCAAGATATTGGATTTGTCGAAGAACGTGGACAGCTGTATTGCGAGTACTGCTTTGAGCAGTACCTTGCACCCCCTTGCTCCAAATGCAGTGGAAAGATTAAAGGGGTAAGGATAATGTTTCATAATATTCGACAAAGTTTTGCAAAATTTCAATATTGTGAATTTGTAGATATCCATTTATCATAAGAATCAAAATTTTTCGACTTGCACTTGGAATATAATGAATACTTCAGTTTTGATTTTGACATTAACACCATATAGATTGCAATTTGCTGGGGACTTTTTGGCAGATTTCATTTTTAATATAAACACTATCACATATACTATAAGAAATAAACAAATTTAACGCTAAAAAGTGAGAAAAAACTTGAATTGTAATTGATACAAATTAAAATGTAAACAATGAACACGAACGTCAATATTGCCAAATGATGAACTGATTTTAAAACAAAATTAATAAATGAACTGAAATTTCAAAAAAAATCAATATAATAAATTGGTTTTATAAAAAAATCCTTAAATAAATATAAAGTATGATTACATATTACTAGACACAAATTTTGATTCTTAAATAAAAGGTCTTATCTACTTCTTCAAGAGCTTAAATCCGACGACAGCGAAATTTTGCTACTTCCGGCAACACTGAACGATATCCTACTTGTATGGACCTTCTACAAATTTCCTCCAGAGGGCGAATCACTTAGTTTGAATCGCGAATAGGGCTCCATTTTGTTTATTGGCTTTGAGCTTCCAGTTTAATAATAGTTCAGTGGCACAGGGCACAGTCATACAACGTGCTCGCTGGCGCTCGCACATTAACGACCGTTTTCGCATGTAAAGATCTAGGTAACGGGCTTATAACGTAAACTACTATTGCGGGTATATCCATTTACGTTACGATAAATGTACTATTCTAATTTTGACATATAAGTTGACATCTTTTGTAATTGCACCAAGCTTCAAAAGGATCTACCTACATTCTTTATGTAAAAATTCATTGTCGAAAAGAAAAGATAAAATAATAATTGTTTGTTTTAAAATCAATTTGAAAGTTAATATCAAAACAGTGAAGGTTGGATACATAAAAATAAATTTTGTTAGGTATTTTTCATCCTTTGAAAGTTTGTACTTTACAAGATATTGAATGAAAATATTGTACAAAATGGAAAATATATTTTTTATCTTCTATTTATAGGATTGCTTAAAAGCCATTGGAAAAAACTTCCATCCTGAATGCTTCAATTGCACGTACTGCGGAAAACTCTTTGGAAATTCGCCCTTCTTTTTGGAAGACGGCAGCCCATATTGCGAAGCCGGTAAGAAAAATGTTTTAAAAATATTGATATGTGCCGCGTTTGAGAATCCACATCGGATGCATCTGAGATGTAAAAAATCTTTGATCACGTGATTCAGTATACGTAAATGTAATGGGACAGATGTGTCCGATGTGGATGAAAAAACGCTCGAGATGTAAAAAATGCATCCGATGTGGATTCTCAAATGCAGCAATGGCATGATAAATGTCATTTTGACCATCAAAAAAATCATCAGTATATTCAAATCAATTGATAATATCAATTGTTATTAGATTTAAGTGTCAATAATGTTTTGTTTTTATATATGATTTCAGATTGGAATGAATTGTTCACTACAAAATGTTATGCTTGTGCATTCCCTATTGAGGCTGGAGATCGTTGGGTAGAAGCTCTTAGCAACAATTATCACAGTCAGTGCTTCAATTGCACGGTAAGTCTTTAGAAATTATTTACATTTGGTTGTAATAGAAGTGAATAGAAAGTATTAGGTAGTATTAGATCAGATGCGCCAATCTCGGAAACAAAATTGGTTTTTGCTTTATAACTGTTAACACATTCACTGCCAGAGAACATAGTGACGATTGATCGTGTGCCACCTATTTTTGGTTTAATTTTTTATACCAGATTAGCGTTTTATGTTCGCAAGAATAATAGGAGAGCATATGGTCACAATGATCAACTGCCATAAATGCATTGTATTTATTTATCAAGGCAGGATTTTCTTTTTCTTGGCCTCATTGAGTGGTTACATATTTCATACGCGCGTTATATTCGCTTGAAATTGCCAACATTTCACGACGGTCTTTCCATTTAACTACACATTCCTTTTGAGTTGAACTGAACCACTACTTCATCCTTTTTTAGTTTCTTCTTTACGACTTCTTCAGCATTTCCTTTTCTATTTGAATGTAATGTTTCTGTTATATACGTTTTTTTACGTAGCAAATCCTCAGTTAGCTGTACGCTATGATAAAAATTATCCATGAATAATGATTGACCATTATCTAATTTCTCTGCCATCAGAGCTAAAGTAACTTTTTTGGTATATCTTTCCCCTCATATTTCAAGATCTGCAGGACCAGAATATACCAATATCTTGAGAGTTGTGCCGTTAGGTTCACATAAAACATTAAGCTTGATACCAAACTTGTGTCTCTTGCCTTTTATGTATTGGCGAAATTTTAAACGATCCCTCCACAAAACCATGGATTCGTCAATAGATAATTCCCTTGTAGGATAGTAAATTTCAACTATTTTATTATTATAAAAATGTATTAAAGGCATAATTTTGCCCAACTGAGTTCGTGGTTCTGGACTTTCAGTATCCCCAAACTGTAGGCTTCTCAAAATTAGCTCGTAAAAGATAAGAAAACAGATAATTGTTCTTCCAGTAATCGTTCATTCTGTTAAGTTTGATTGTCCCCATATGAAAAAGTAAACCCAAAAAAGTTCTCATTTCTGTTGTAGTGACATCAACCTATCTAGCAATTGTTGGTTCCCCGTCTGAGCCGAGTGCAATTAAATAAATTGCATGTTCGCGTACATAACATATCAAAAAAGTCATCTGTGGCTGTCAGGTTTAAATAATCCATTGGCTCTGTGGAATCAGAATTTACAAGTAAACCTGTCACATTTTGATTTTGAATTTCAGTTTAACTCCAATCATTGGTCTGCGTAATATTCGGGACGAAAGGGAGTTTGTCATCAATATTGTCCAAGTAATTAGGATCACCGTCCCTACTGTTTGCGAAGGGGTCCTCCTCGCTATCTTTTTCTTCAAAAATAGCTAACAGCTCAGCGTCTCTTAATTTTTCTTTCTCTCTCTCTCTCTTTCGCGGTTACATTTACTTTTTTTCGATAGTCCTGGCTCATCTGCCATAATATCTGTAAGAAAATAATAACAAAAAAATTACACACGCTATGTGCCGGTCAACGTCATATTTTTGTTTATTTTTTAGGTTATTATATTATTTTTGTAGTAAATAAGTACATTAAAAAGTAATTAAAAAACAAAATAAACATTGTTTGGTAAGAATTAGTATAACAAAAAACAAAAATACAGAAAAACTTACATTTTACAATAAAAATCCGCTAACGTTTTTTTTTAAACCAAACCTGACACGTGATGCACTCATCCTTAACAAAACAATCTTCTCATACGGCGAACCAATCCACATTGTCCGCATTAATCTCTCTGACGTTGTATTAGACCTACCGAACGCTCCTAAGGTGGTGCCGGCAGTGAATGTGTTAAATATACAAAGCATTTTTTTTGCCAAATGGTTTTTACTACAATATCATGTGAATCATGAATTCTAAAAAAATTAAATAATAATCATCTGTTTTGACTATATACTCCGAGAGAAACTTCTGTTGGCCTAATAACTACTAATGGAAACATTCATATCATAAGCGCCAGCCTAGTTGTTTTGTTGCAGTTAATAAAGTCGTTTGTTTCAAAAACTTTCTTGGCAAATGAAAATATTGCAAATGGCGTGTATGGCATGTGGCCGGCGACAACAGGCACGTTCGCGTGAAAAATACGTTACTGTTTAACATAAGTACTTATCACTGGCAAAGACATATTTTAAGGACAAAACATATTTTTTTAACTATTAAAATCATTTTATTAGAGGCTAAAATGTCTTTCTAAATTGATTTTTTAATTTACACAGCATTCTTTTTTTATTATAAAAATATTCTTTGCTACCACAAAAAAGTTCTTAAGAAAAATGACTCGTGCTCTTTTTTAAAGTAAAACTTTAATTTTTACTAAAGTTTTTTAGTATGCAAAAGATATTTTTGGTTAATTTTTTATAAGAGTGGTAGAGTCTCTGCCTGCGGATCCAAGGGTCCTAGGTTCGAATCCCAGCGTTAGCCGGGATTTTTTAATTTAATTTAATTATTTAAAATTAATTCTCATGCCTTGGTAGGATTCTCCACTCGACCATTCACTGTTGGGTTCTAATTAAGAGTGCTTTTCCTAAAGTGGCACTGGGAAACAGTAACAAAGTCTACACAGAACACGAGGCGAGATAACCTTAGCAGTTGAAGCCGATGACACACAAAAAAATAGGTCTAATTATCTCTTTGTAGAATACAGTGAAAATTTGTCAGTAATCTCAGTGGTGAATAATGAAAATACTTTCCTAATTTGTATTTTGTTTCAGATGTGTAAGAAAAATTTGGAAGGACAGAGCTTCTTCGCTAAGGGAGGACGTCCATTCTGCAAAAACCACGCACGTTAAATGGTTGGAAACCATTTATTTACCACAAATGTTACCATTTTGCTTGAAACTCTTTAATATATTAATAAAAATTGCGAGCTTGGTGTTAAAAAACAGAAAATCTATTTTTATTACTACTTAATTTTTGGAGTAACAATTTTAGCCTTTGCTCACATCTGATGTATTTTATTTATTTTTCTCTTATTTATAGGTGTACAAAAAAAGCAGAGAGAACCAAAAATATTTATTTTATTTTAGGTTAAAACTTGTAAATTTTGTTAATAGTTTAGTTTTTGAGAAATTTGAAATTCTTAATTAAGTGATTTATTTGTGTCATTGGTATTTTTTGAGTCATACCATTTTTTTTGTGATTTGTGCCATCTATTTTATGTATTGGACTGTTTGTCTATAGCACCTTTTATGAATAAATATAGATAATTTAGGCCTTATTGATGTTTTTATTTATATAGCACCTATTTAGAACCCTTTTGTAGTAATTTTTCACCTCTGAGTAATGTTGAAAGTAGGGGAGCCTATAACGGCATACTCGTAACTGGGAGAATGAAATACATTTTACCTTTTTTTACCTAAAAGCTATTTATGGCTAGGAGCCATTCTAGTATTTGGAATAAAAAAACACATGTATACTTTTATATATCGATTTATATTTTCCATTGAAAAGTAACAACAAGCAATAATTCGCAAAATTAGCATGGACGGAGTAAGAGTAGATATTTATAGATGTATAGCATATTTAAAATACAATATAGTTTTAATCTTATTTAACTGTAATACATTCCAGTACATAAAACAAAATTCAGTAAGCAGGAAAATTGTAAAAGGAATAATTTGAAACTCATTGGAATATTCCTGTGATTGTCTCACTCGGCTAACGCCTCATTCCATAATATTTATTTATTTATTTATTTATTTATAATATCCCAGACCGCACACGACGTACATTGGACGTCCATATTTTATATATTTTCCGATATTCCAATGGATATACCCATTCAGAAGTCCAATCGATGTCCAAAAAATGTCCATGAAGGACACTATAAAAACTACAAACTTATAATAAATTATAATTCTTCTAGTATAATTTAATTACAACTAGGTTTTTATTACAATTTTATTCACCTCTTTGCTACTGTTGACAAGATATAAAAGTAAAAGGCCATTCAGGCCAGACTCGAAGAAGAAAAGAAGAAAGGGGTTAAGACAAGAACGGCCAACAAATAACATGAGTTTGTTATCTGGTAAGAAAATAAGTATAATAAGTATGAAAGTAAAATGATCATTTAAAGAAACAATGAGCAGTTTTTTTTCTATATTTAAGTACAGGGGTAAATTACATTAGTCAATGCATATTTTTATATTAGTTTTACATTTTTAACTATCAGTTTTGCCTAGTCAGGCATTTTTTGAAAGATTAATTTAAGAATCAATATTCGTATAACATATGCAATGTCTTTTTTTAGCTGTTGCTGAGAGCGACAATGGGGTTGCTTAAAAAGTAAGTGAAATAGCCTTAAGAAAATGGCTGAGAACGTCAACATAAAGGAGTGCGTATAAAACCAATAGGTACATGCTTGATATTATTTATGACAAGAAAAATATGTCCATAGTTGCAATATTTATTTCTTATTATTGTAGGTAGTGATGTCCATAAATTGTCCAAAAGCAATACAAGTTTATATATGGACCTTTACTGGAGTCCAAATGGACGTCCAGGAGTGGGACATTTGTATAGTTGTCCTTCTGTAAAATGCTGGACGTCCTATGGACAGCCTATATGTCCATCAATAGACTTCCGATGGACATCCAATGGATTGACTTGTGCTGTCTGGGATATTATAAATAATACAATTTAATAATGTATGAATACCTACTGAAAATTAATAATATGCAAAGACATAAACAACCTTTAAGAAATGTTGTAAAAGTTATTTGGCATGGCGTAGGCAGTTTAGAGGCAGAGGAGTAGACAGAAAAATATAGTATGTAAGTTATACAGGGGGAATCCAAATGTCTCCAGTCATCTCGTTATCAGCTTGAAGAAATTCACTTAACTGACATTCAGAAGCCAATGGATGTCGTTTGGCCAGTTCTTTTGCCTTCTTAGTAAATTTTATTACCTGAAAAAAGTAAATTAAAGTTAAAAATAATAAAAGTAGATTACATGCATAAAGAATGGAGGAATTGAAGGTTACATTTAAACTAATAAAAAATAAACATTCTATCGAAATTTTAAAAAATTTAACAGATACTGGCATTATTTGTACTAGCAATTCTAATTAATGGAAGTTTCAGAGGTACACATTTATCTTTTTTTTTAAAACTAGTGTAGTCATACCACTGTATAAAAGCGGTGATAAAGTTACTCCCTCCAACTACAGGCCGATTTCTCACATACCAACCCTTGTTAAATAAATTGAAAACTTGTTAAATTCTGCTTATTATTTTAATATTCTAACACTGAATTAGTTTGAATTTAGTATAAAATCTAGCACAAGAATCTTTAATTGTTTTGAAATAACAGCATTAACATAGATGAAGCTGCTGTAGCAGCCTTCTGTGACTTAACAAAAGCTTTGGATTGCGTGAACCATGGACTGCTGCAGAAACTTCATCATTATAGTATTAAAGATATTGCTCTTGTCCGGAAAGGAACAGTTTCTTAAAGCGACTACAGATTCGCGTTTACTGGATGTTAAGCCGGGTGTACCTCAAGAGTAAGTTCTTGGGCCGTTACTGTTTCTAATTTATGTAAGTGATCTAACATTTCTTGATATTTCAGCCGACTTATTATTTAATGACGATACAACTTTTATGACATTCTATAGATTCAAGCAAACTTCCTGATATGGCATCTCGTGATCTTTTAAAGTGGTGTGAAGCCACTTTTTTAACACTAACTATTAGTAAAATGAAACTGCTAACTTTTAAAAATATATTACCTAACTTAAAATTGGATTCGATAAAATGTCATGCTAAGGAAATATTTTTGGGTTTAAAAATAGCCTCTAATTTGAATTTTAAATACCACATGGATGGTTTGAATAAAAAGTTAGCTTCTGGTTGTTTTGCGATTAGTTCTACCAGGAGGAAATTGGGATTTGCTGCAGCAAATTTTTACTTTGGGTTGATTGTGTTGTGGGACCTACATATAATTTATGAACAAATAACCATAGATATAAAAAATATTGAATATCATGTAATAAATAATAAAAGTTGTCACTGTACAAAATAAAGTAAAATATTAAAAGTATTCTACATAATTTTCTTGAACGGTGGTTTTTTCTAAATAACTTCAACAAAGGTTATGGACCCAGAGAGCCATTGGCAAAAGAAAGTTTGAAGAAAAACCAAATTCTGTAGATATATTCATATTTCTGTCAACTACTGACTGCGTTCTTACTACTTACAAGTACGGTTTCTCATAGTAGTATATTTCTTCCCACAATCTATTCGCTCCGTGCGAAGTCATGGAAAGGGAAGCAAAAGCGATACTAGCGCTAGCTGCGGATAATTCGTGCATTTTAGGGGGATATTTTGTAATTTTGGCATATCAAATACACGTATACATTTTACTTTTTTTCAAAAAAGTAGGTAAAAACAACACAATAAGCAACCGGAGTTGCTGTGTTGAAAATTGTACAAATACTAGCAAAAAAAAACAGTGAAACTTATATAACAAATTTCACTAACAAAGTGGAAATTAAATCAAAGAAATAAATGGATAGGTGTACAATAAGAAGAAAAATTACCTTTATTTTTGTGATAATAACAGTAATGCTGGAAATAGTAGACATCAGAAACTAGAAAGTTTTTAAATAAACAATAAATTATCATTTTACGATGTTCTTTAATATCCCTTTATTCTTAAATGTTCATTCAGCAAGGACTAGATTTGAAGATTTCTGCCGTTGATTATAATATTTGGTTGGTATGCAATTTTGTGACTTACTGATCGGAAACCAGTTTTAATCATTCATTCTATGTTTTCTTTAGAACAAAAATGAAAACATAAGTAGCGATCCTTTTTATACATTTTAACTTCACGCTATTATAAATGGTTTCTTCAATGACAACTTATTAGACTTAGGCAACTTCTCATACATTTTCCAGTAAATACTGTTGCCTGCGTATATTTTATTATTGATTTTTAATGATTATACATAATTTTCTTCAATTTAAGCGTGAAAAATATATAATAATAATAAATTAATGTTTTAATTGTTTTATAAATCCATATACTTTTATTAAAACTAACATATATACTTTTTATTTACGAATTCTATTAAAAATTGTATTTGTCAGTATAGGCAGAAATACTCCTTTAATATCAAAACAAATTGGCGCTGCTGTCGCGCACGGAGCGAATAAGCTGACCGGTGAAAATAATTATAAAAACTGGAAGTTTGCAATGCAGATGTTTTTGAAACACGAAGATATGTGGGAATATGTGGATGACAAATTTATAATACAAAGAAGCATGAAAAAGCTCTGGCTTAAAAATGTTTAATGGTTTCTCCGTCACTGTATGTACATGTTTCCAGTGCCAAAGGTCCTAAAGAAGCTTGGGATAATCTTTCTAAATTATTTGAACCCAAAGGCTATGTAGGGCGTCAAAAACTTTTAAAATGTTCCTTAGCTGACTATAAGGATGATGAAGATTTAGCAGCTGTTCTGTTAGGTGGTCTTCCTGAATAATTTGAACCCATGATTATGGCTTTGGACAACTGTGGAATAAAAATCACTAGAGAAATAGTCAAAATTAAGCTATTGGCAGAAGGATATAAACAGGAAGAAAATCAGTCAGAAAATGCTGTAGCAACTAGGACGCCAAATCCTAGATGAAGATTTGGTAAATATTGCGAAGACACCCTTTTCTTAAAAATATTTTTTTTTTTATAAAGAGAGTATTTTTCAAATATACCACCAAAACCCCATACATTAACTGTTTTTTTTTAATTTTACATATTAAAGTCCTATGAGGATCATTAAGTGATCATTTGTGTAAACTTATTCATTGGAATTTAGAATTATATCTGTCATGCTCTGTCAATACAAATTAGTGCTATGTTGCCAAGTGTTCAATTAAAATCAAAGAAAAAGAAATATAAAAAAACCTCAGAGTAAGCAATCTAAGAAAAAAACCTTATTTTTGACATAACATTTTCATACTCTTTAAAAAGCAGTTCTATATTTTTTTGTCACACCCGATGATCTATTTATCTATTTTAATTCAATTGTTATACATAATTTTAAAATAATATTATTACGTCATCTGTAAAGTAATAAACAATGTATTTTTCGTAAACTTTGAAATATAATTGTGTTATCCAAAAGTTTTTAAAACTTTTTTGAACCAAGTGAATTTTCTTGTTTGACAAATGACGCCAGACAGCCAAATTTGAAGAGTACTATCAACAATTAGTTCAATTTGTGCTGGGTTAACTGTGACGTCATCGGTGGATACTTTTAAGGCATTTATAAGCTTACCACAACATACTTCGCTGTTTGTACAGTGTCCATCAGTGTAAATTACACCAACTTATTTACCTGATTTACTTCCTTCTTATTCCTTATACTTATGTCGAGTGTAATTGACACTCCTGCTAAATAGCTGGTGAAAAAATATCCACCAGTGGACACCACATCGCCGACAGGAAAGTGGAAGGTGGATTTTACAACGGGCAAAACGAAAGGTTTAGTGTCCGTTGGTGTAGTTCATTTCTACACTAGTGGAACGAACGGAAGAACCTTTGGTTACAGTATTGTGGTTACTGTAGTGAAGTTACACATACCGTGGTGAGTTTCCATGATGAGTTACCTCTATCTTCTGAAATAATCTCTATCGAAGCTGATGAAGAAAACAATAAGCAAACAACAGAAAATCTTGGCGAAAATGCTGAAAGAAGATATCCTGAACGAGTAAGAAACTCAACAAAGTTTTTTACATACCAGATTTTTGAAGAAAATCCACTGCTGGATCCTGTTAATGTCTCTAATGTTCTCAATGAACATGATGCTGATAAATGGCATGGTGCCATGAAAAAGCAATATAATTCTCGTATGCATAATAAAACGTGGGAATTGGTAGAAAAGCCTAAAGGTGCATGTGTTAGTCCATGCAAATGAGTTTTTAGAATCAAGCAGGATGCCTCTAGTAATGTGACAAAATTCAAGGCTAGACTTGTCACCTAAAGGATTTAAGCAAACATATGGTATTCATTATGATGATACATATGCACCTGTGGTAAGAAAGGAAAGTTTTAGGTTGCTATTTGGGATTGCTGCAGAATACCACTTAGATATAGATCAAATGGATGTAAAGACAGCATTCTTAAATGGTGAACTAACTGAAACTGTATACATGTATCAACCGGATTGTTTTATAGATGATAGTAATTCAGATAAGGTATGTTTATTACAAAAGGCTCTTTATGGCCTAAAACAAGCCGTGATATCATGGAATATTAAAATTCATACGAAATTAATTGATACAAGCTTCAAAAATTGACAAAAATATTTTAATATTCATTGCATTATATGTAGATGATTTATTAATTTTTACAAATAGTTTGTCTGAAAACAAAAACTGATCTTAAAAGTAGCTTTAACATGCAAGAATTAGCGCAAGCAAAATATTATTTATGTATAGAAATTACTAAACAAGGAAACCAAATTTTTCTAAATCAGAAGTATTTACTTGATTTACTAAAAAAAAAATATAATATGTTAGATGCAAAAATATTTTGAACACCTACAGAATGTAAATTAAATTTAAATAAAGAACAAAATAAAAAGTTACCTGATGCCCTATATATAACTCAAATTTTACTACCGAATTACGGCAACATGCGAAAAGAGTTTTAAGGTACCTTAAGGGAACGTTGAATAAATCTCTATTATTCAGACCATCTAGAAATGTTTTAACTGGTTATATCGATGCAGATTGGGCTGGAAGCGATAAAGATAGGCGTTCATTTAGTGGTTTCGTTTTTACATTATTCTAATGAAGCAACCTCCTGGAGCAGCTGTAAACAGCGATATGTGTCATTGTCCAGCACAGAAGCTAAATACGTTGCCCTCTCTGAAGGAGCATACAAATGCGTTTTCCTCAAAAATA